GAGCCTTGGTCAGGTAGGTGACCAAGAACCCGATGGGCACTCTGACAGTGCTCCAGAGACAACCATCTCTGGCGCACTCCACCAATCAGGCCTTTATGGTAGAGTGGCCAGATGGAAGCCACTCCTCAGTAAAAGGCACATGACAGCCCGCTTGGAGTTTGCCAAAAGGGACCTAAAGTACTCTCAGACCATGAGAAACAAGATTCTCTGGTCTGATGAAACCAAGATTGAACTCTTTGGCCTGAATGCCAAGCATCACGTCTGGAGGAAACCAGGCACCGCTCATCACCTGGCCAATTCCATTCCTACGGTGAAGCATGATGGTGGCAGCATCATGCTGTGGGGATGTTTTTCAGCGGCAGGGACTGGGAGACTAGTCAGGATCGAGGGAAAGATAAACAGAGCAAAGTACAGAGAGATCCTTGATGAAAACCTGCTCCAGAGCGCTCAGGACCTCAGACAGGGTGAAAGTTCACCTTCCAACAGGACAACGACCCTAAGCACACAGCCAAGACAATGCAGGAGTGGCTTCGGGACAAGTCTCTGAATGTCCTTGAGTGGCCCAGCCAGAGCCCTGGACTTGAACCCAATTAAAATCTCTGGAGAGACCTGAAAATAGCTGTGCCTGACGGAGTTTGAGAGGATCTGCAGAGAAGAATGGGAGAAACTCCCCCAAACACAGGTGTGCCAAGCTTGTAGCCTCATACCCAAGAAGACTCGAGACTGTAATCGCTGCCAAAGGTGCTTCAACAAAGTACTGAGTAAAGGGTCTGAATACCTGTTTTTGCTTTGTTATTATGGGGTATTGTGTGTAGATTGATGATGTTCAACAAAGAATGCAACAGGGATTATGGTGATAATACAACAATTGAACTGACTGTGGCTCAAAAAAATAGGAGTTTGGGTGTGCATTTCTGAAGTGCACGTAACAATCTATTGTCTCAGCAAACATAACTGCACTGAATTATCTCCATATCAAAAGCCAAAGGTTATGGGAACTGGGAGCTTGCGTAGTATCACTGATAAACAGTAGTGTAGAGCTCACGTTTATGAGTAAAAGTGACTCCAGTAAAGAGAAAGTGGAAAGATTGTATATTGATATCACTGCAGAAACAATCTGATTGTAAATACCTTACAAAGAGACAGACACACTTAGCAGAGCACTGTGACATTAATGGTCCTTTTCCATATTGACTTATCATTGTTCCTTGGAGGGAATGCATGATCACCATGAATATTCAGTCAAAAGCAGGGGAGATGGTGGTTGAAGTTGTTTTGCTAATCTTACTTTATCTTGCGGAGACGCCATTTTCTCTGCCAGAATTTCTGGGGACCTCATTTTTTGCCCCCAAGAAATTATCGTGACCCCACCCCAAATCTAATGACAACCTTAAAATGTATACATTTCGATTTTTACATCAACAAATAACCTTCAATTCATTGCATTTCTTATCTCTTATCATGAAAAGAAACCAATAAATACATTTACTCAATAAAATTTTATTTTTTACATTGTTTTTCAAACGCGTTTGTATATTGTCCAGTATAATAATCTGTACTCTTAATTGTTTGTTCAAATGTTGTTTTTTGTTAATATATTTTGTAATTTTGACCCCACACCCCCACACTAAGGGTCGCGACACCGACTTTGAATACCACTGGTATAGTGCTACATACAGTGCTTTCAGAAAGTATTCACACCCCTTGACTTTTTCCACATTTTGTTGTGTTACAGCCTGAATTAGAAATTGATTACATTTTGATTTTTTGTGCCTGGCTTACACACAATACCCCACAGTGTCAAAGTGAAAATATGTTTTTTGACATTTTTACATGCCTAGCAAAGAAGGGCACCTGTTGGTAGTTGTGTAGCAGACATTGAATATCCATGGTGAATTTATTAATTACACTTTGGATGGTGTATCAATACACCCAGTCATGACAAAGATACAGGTGACCTTCCTAACTCAGTTGCCGGAGAGGAAGGAAACCGCTCAGGGATTTCACCATGAGGCCAATGGTGACATTAAAACAGTTACAGAGTTTAATGGCTGTGATAGAAGAAAACTGAGGATGGATCAACAACATTGTAGTTACTCCACAATACTATCCTAATTGACAGAGTGAAAAGAAAGAAGCCTATCCAGAATACAAATATTTGCAACAAGGCACTAAAGTAATACCGCAAAAAATGTGGCAAAACAATTAACTTTTTGTCCTGAATATAAAGTGTTATGTTTGTGGCAAATCCAATACAGCACATTACTGGGTGCCACTTTTTCAGGATAAAAAAGAAACGGAATGGAGCTAAGCACAGGCAAAATCCTAGAGGAAAACCTGTTTCAGTCTGCTTTCCACCAGACACTGGGAGATTAATTCACCTTTCAGCAGGACAATAACCTAAAACACAAGGCCAAATATACACTGGAGTTGCTTACCAAGAAGACAGTGAATGTTCCTGAGTGGCCGAGTTACAGTTTTGACTAAAATCTACTTCAAAATCTATGGAAGACCTGAAAATGGTTGTCCAGCAACGATCAACAACCAATATGACAGAGCTTGAAGAATTTTGAAAAGAATAATGGGCAAATATTGTACAATCCAGGTGTGCAAAGCTCCAAAAAACGTACCCAGAAAGACTCACAGCTGTAATCGCTGCCAAAGGTGATTTGACTGGTTGTGAATACTTATGTAAATTAGATATTTCTGTATATAATTTTCAATAAATTTGCAAGATTTTTGAAAATCATGTTTTCACTTTGTCATTATGGGGTATTGTGTGTAGATGGGTGAGTAAAAACAATATTTCATCAATTTTGAATTCAGGCTGTAACAACAAAACATGGAATAAGTCAAAGGGTATGAATACCTTCTGAAGGCACTGTATGTAGGTCCTCTTCCTTATCAATTAATCTGATTCAACTGTCATAGTTATCAAGTCATCACATCCCTGATAGAAGCTGTTCAGGAGGCCTTACAGCTCTCCTGTACAACCACATGGGGAATCAGACTAAATAAACTCTCTCAACTGCTCCTAGACATAAGATTTTCTCACAACTGCCCTTAGACTTAAGATACTCTCACAACTGATCCTAACCATTGCAATAGCCTATATGATATGAGATATGTATATCAATCAATATAAGATCACATAATATCACATCCGGGTTCCAAATAATATGCTATACATAATGTAAACAAGTAAATTAGTAATGTAAGTGCATACATAGCTGAATAGGGGCATTCTACCAGTCATCTTTTCTAACTAAAGCAGTCAATACCCTGTTGATTCCCCACAAATACAGCTGAAATAAATAAAATATCCTCAAAGGCAAAATCCATCATTTCCTATTAGCTTCAATATACTGAAACATCGTCAACAACCTCAACAACAACGACAGCCTTTGTAAAGCTGCCTTCGAAAATACAAAACAAACAGTGTAGTAGAGTTTTGGGCCACCAATAGATTTATACAGTAGAGGATAAAGTTATGCTCTCTCTAAGCCATTGCTGGTGAATGTGCTCTTCACAAACGACAAAACAAAATGCCAATGTTATTCTATGCTACAGTATGCTCAACTTTCTTACTGCTGTGATTTGAGTTGAGGCAACTCAAAGTTCCTCCCTGTTCAAACTTAATGCTGGGACGGTCCTTATTCACTGTGCTTTAGTTATCCAGTCAAGATTGTGACGTGTAGTGCATACTAACCACATTCAAAACACCAACACGTTCTACATGGAAATGGACAATGTCAGTAGCTAGCAAATAGAATCAGATAGAAAATACCACTGATAATGAACCACAACCTGAAATATTCATTTAAAAAAAGAAAATAATTCAGAAAAATGATTTATAAATATGGCATAGAGAATGCCCATATGTTTTAATAGGTAAATCCTTATTTTTATAACATTGAAAAGTGTTTTTGTAATATGCACATATGTATATTAACGGTTTAACGGCGTTGTGTGGATGGATGGCTCTTGTTCTCTCTGGACTGAGGATACCTACCTACATAGAGACTTTATAACACATGAATAACCGTATATGAGCAGTACATAAGCATTTCATAATTATTTTTTATTTTTTTACTGTGGTATGTATGGGTTATTAATGTGATATGAAGTCATTATAAGTCCTAAGAGGTACCCTTCAAGTACCAACATATCAACTCCACAGCTCTGGGCTCTGGTTGGCCATGATGACAGAGTTCAGTCACCAATCAAAATGTAAAGACGTAACGTGAAAACAACAAAGTCAAAATCACCTGACATCAATAAGAAAGTTCTCACACCATAAAAATTGTCCATGACACTTATATAAGCGGTAAGCCTTACTTCATTGCAATGGGTAAAAAAAAAAAAATTCACGTCTCGACTTTATATGTCGCTCCACATGAGATGTTCCTCGTTATGTTAGGAGGAACAAGGAAAAGCTCTATCCATGTTGGCAAGTGTCCATACATTGTCCATGATAATTTTGACACACAGTCATTTTCCCTTTGTTCATCCCCAGCAATTACAGTGTACAAGAAGAGTACAATAATACAATTAAGGATCTGTTTCGCAGACCCAGATTACAATTTAATCAAGATTACTGATAATTTGGTTTCATGGACATGGCCTCAATTATTGTTGGACTATGGTTAATCTTCATTTAAAAAGTTCCTGTCACAGTCCAGCAGTATGTAATTCAAGGTTAATAGATGTTCATGAAATCATTTTTAGCTCTTGATGAACTAAATCAGAATTGGGCCTACTCCTGGATTATTTTAATCTGGGTTTGAGAAACTGGTCCTAAAAGTATCTTCAAATGGAGAAGGAAAGGAAATCTCAATCAAATTTAAGGCTTTTGTCTATGTGATGAGGAGGCAGAAGCACAGTCAGCACAGTCGGGCACACTCGCAAACACATATGCTCACACACGCAGGCACGCGCACGCATACATACACAAAACTCCACCCTCACCCCCACCCATACACACTCCTGCCCAGACTCACTCAGCCCAGTATATCCAGGTAGACAGGCGAGGCCTTGGCCAGACTCTGGAGCAGGCTGTGGATCTCCTTGATGTTCAGTCTCATGTAGGGTTCTCTCTGCCAGCATCCCAGCATCAGGTCGTACACCTCCTTTGGACAGGAACGCGGCCGCTGCAGCACGCGCCCCTGGGTGATGCACTCGATCACCTGCATAAAGGGTCATCACCACTGGTCAGCACTTTTTCAATTCAATTAAATTAAATTGAAATTCAGTTCAATTCAACTTTATTTATTCCCTGAGGGGCAATTAAGGAAGCCATTGCTCACATTATAACAACAGCATATAAATAAAGTGAGGTTTACCAAGGTGATATGTTTTTTTAGACTCATAGACATATTAACCCTGGTTTTATATAATAGATTGGCAGGAAATGTATATTCATAACGCATAAAAATCTACACTGAGAGAATAAAACATTAGGAACACCTTCCTTTAACCTGTCTCCTGCCCTTCATCTACACTGATTGAAGTGGATTTAACAGGTGACATCAATAAGGGATCATAGCTTTCACCTGTATTCACCTGGTCACTCTAAGTCATGTAAAGAGCAGGTGTTCCTAATGTTTCGTACAGTCAATGTATATGGACAATACAAATGTGACATACTGTAACTAAGATTAGAAAAATGGAGACTACAGAAGACTGATGTATTTGAAGTTTTGACGATAAATCTCATAATTGGAGCTCAGGTGCTATGGTACCAGTGTAGTCAATCTACTGTAGGAAAGGTTTGAGCTTGTGTCTCTGACCTTGTAATCTTGGAACCCAGAACCAAATCTCAAGAGTTTTGCTGTCTGTCATAAGAGACTACTGACCTCATTGTTGGAGAGCTGGTACCAGGGCTGCTTCCCATAGGTGAAGATCTCCCAGAGGACCACGCCGAGACTCCAGACATCGCTCTCCGTGGTGAACCTCCGGTACATGATGCTCTCTGGAGGCATCCAGCGGATGGGCAGCATGGTGTGACCACCCACCTGGAAACAGACACGAAGGATCCATCAAGAACCATCCAGGATAACCACAGAGAAGGTCAAATGAAGAAGAGATGATGAAGGCTGGAATGAACGGGAGTGAAATAAAGAAACTGCCCAAAAACAGGGTTAGATGGAGAGGTGTTGTTGTCAGTCAGGTCAGTAACCAACATACTATTAAGGCCTATTAACATTTGGTTAAAGGTAGAATATACAATATTCATGACAAGATCATGTACACAAATTTGTATTGTGTGTGGGCCTACAGTTTCCATGGAAATCAATGTTATGATGAGATATTTTAAAAAAGGTATTAAAACCCAACTTGCACAATACATTTTTTGCCTGAATTGGTATTGGCACTGTTTGGCCTTAGCTGCGACGCCCCACCTGTTTAGCTAAATAAAAGAAAGAAAAAAAAAAAAGGTATATATATTTTTTGGGTGCCTGTTTTGGCATTAATACACGTCACATATCAGTTTGCAAACAATGTAAAAAAAATAATAATAGAGTTAATAAAGCCGCATACAAACATGGTCTCTTTTTTGCTTTCTTGAGTAAGGCAGCTCCAAAATGCAGGTGTTTCAGCCTAGATCAGTGCTTTCTGTGGTGGTGGGGCAGCTAGCGGACATACAGAGCCTAGTGGTTGGTAATGTTCTCTAGTTGCGCCGTGATTGGCACAGTGTTCTGTCACTCATGGGGACACTACGTCACCGCAAAATCTACGGGGAGAGCTCCAAAAATTCAAGCCCCTTGGATGCTGCCATAGAGTTACATTAGAAGTGCCCATCCAAGAAGGCTCAAGGTCATTGGCCACAGATAAAATACAGTAGCTTTGATTGGATTGATCATGTCATCATACTTTCAAAATCTTAGCTAGCAAGCTAGCAGTCATCATCATGAATCAAGTCAACAATCTACTGGCAAATCTTTTCAATCCTTGTCATATGAAGATAAATTAGAGATACAACCTCTCTGTGCTCATGGACATTGGACATAAACATTACACAACAAGTCAGAAATGGAAAATTCAACAATGAGTGGTTTGGAAGGAAGCAGTGCTAGCGTTGCAAAGCAATCACTATTTCGCTTCCCCTGCCTGCTATTCAGTGGAGAGGGTGTGTGGTCCAAGTCTGGGTTTAAGGTTTTAAAACATCTGTCTGAAAGGGTCTCAAAACATGAGAATTGTGCATCACATATAGACAACACAGTTAAACTGGGATTACTGGGGAAATTAAACGTTGTGGCTCAGCTAGACTCAGCTAATACTTCAAATGTTAGGCTAACCGCTGAGTCTGGGTCTCTCTTTCTCTCTCTGTGGTGACTTAAAGAAGAGTAAAGTGAAGGCCTCAACATCTTGCTGAATTTATCTGAACTAATATCTATCTGAATTTCTGTCGCTGTCCATTTCGGAATTTCTGGCCTACCTCATCGCAGTTTGCTTCCACTTACTTATATAAGAACAAACATTGTGAATTTACTGAACATAAATGTAATAATGTTTGTGTATGGTTCAAAAGTCAAAACTCATGTCGACATTATTATTGAAGGAGAATGTGGTTCTTATCCATTTACACAAATCCACAAGGAGTCAGTAAAAAACATATTATTTAAGCAAGTCAGCCATAAGCTCCACTCTCGGGATAGCTTTATGTAGACCCTAAAAGTTTGTGGGCAGCGTTTGTCGCCGTTATAGTGTATTTAATGTATTGTTTAGAGTTGTGTAGTGGCTTCGCTGGCATTCATCTAAAAAAAATGTTGTTTGCCCCACCAAGATTGACATGTTAAATCGCCACTGATTGACATGATTGTCAGTTTACAATAACTGACACATTTGTTTATGTGTTGACCCAATTGCTGTTCAGCTGCGTCGTTGGTCTTCCTATCTGATCCCAATGGCGGATAATGTGGATTAGTGAGTGGGTATATTCATATGCTGCCCTCTGATTGGGGGATGATGGGTCTAAATTACATTCATCTGTATTGTATTGATTCTCCCCTGGGAGGGCCAGGAAGCAGCAGAGGGCACTGTAGTCTACGTAGACTCCAGGCCTGGGGCTGACTGGGAGACATAACATGTCTGGATCTAAGAGCCAAATCTGATAATGGCTTGAAGAGCAACTGCCTTTAAAAAACAACAAATCCCTTTAAAAACGGCCTATGTGGCATCGATATGAGTCAGGAACAGTTATTCTAGTGTCAAAATTGACTACAAAGTGTAATTTGGATAATTTTGGTCATAAAGTCAGTCTCGCCTAAAATGGAGTTTGGAACAACCGTGCATTACTTGAGAAATACTGCACCAAACACGTTAGTTCGACGTAAAATTGCACAACTAAAACATCCTTGGCAAAAACGTCAAAATGTATTACAGATTTCTTGAGTTATCTTAGATTAATTCTGGGGATTATGAGGAAATTAAATAGATTTACACGTTTACAGTGTCTCATGGGGGACAAACATCATTAACCAAACGCGGAATCGGTTAGGAAACACCCCCAAGACTGAAATCTTGTTTTTCTAATGAGCAACAGAAAAATACATGTGCCAATTGACATGTTCAGTGTTTAAGATAACCATCTGTAATGAATAAAGGGTGATTCAATGCCAGCATGGCCCGAAAATATGTTTGGTATCACAGATTGTTCTGGCAATTCTTACATAAAAACTTCATTGGGAGGAAGGATGTTTAACATGCTTAAATATATAAAATGATGAAAGTGGCCATTTTAGGCCCTTTTTAGACCTATACAGTGGGGAGAACAAGTATTTGATACACTGCCGATTTTGCAGGATTTCCTACTTACAAAGCATGTAGAGCATTTTTATCATATGTACACTTCAACTGTACGAGACGGAATCTAAAACAAAAATCCAGAAAATCACATTGTATGATTTTTAAGTAATTAATTTGCATTTTATTGCATGACATAAGTATTTGATCACCTACCAACCAGTAAGAATTCCGGCTCTCACAGACCTGTTAGTTTTTCTTTTAGAAGCCCTCCTGTTCTCCACTCATTACCTGTATTAACTGCACCTGTTTGAACTCGTTACCTGTATAAAAGACACCTGTCCACACACTCAATCAAACAGACTCCAACCTCTCCACAATGGCCAAGACCAGAGAGCTGTGTAAGGACATCAGGGATAAAATTGTAGGCCTGCACAAGGCTGGGATGGGCTACAGGACAATAGGCAAGCAGCTGGTGAGAAGGCAACAACTGTTGGCGCAATTATTAGAAAATGGAAGAAGTTCAAGATGACGGTCAATCACCCTCGGTCTGGGGCTCCATGCAAGATCTCACCTGGTGGGGCATCAATGATCATGAGGAAGGTGAGGGATCAGCCCAGAACTACACGGCAGGACCTGGTCAATGACCTGAAGAGAGCTGAGACCACAGTCTCAAAGAAAACCATTAGTAACACACTACGCCGTCATGGATTAAAATCCTGCGGCGCACGCAAGGTCCCCCTGCTCAAGCCAGCGCATGTCCAGGCCCGTCTCAAGTTTGCCAATGACCATCTGGATGATCCAGAGGAGGAATGGGAGAAGGTCATGTGGTCTGATGAGACCGAAATAGAGCTTTTTGGTCTAAACTCCACTCGCCGTGTTTGGAGGAAGAAGAAGGATGAGTACAACCCCAAGAACACCATTCCAACCGTGAAGCATGGAGGTGGAAACATCATTCTTTGGGGATGCTTTTCTGCAAAGGGGGCAGGACGACTGCACCGTATTGAGGGGAGGATGGATGGGGCCATGTATCGCAAGATTTTGGCCAACAACCTCCTTCCCTTAGTAAGAGCATTGAAGATGGGTCGTGGCTGGTTCTTCCAGCATGACAACGACCCGAAACACACAGCCAGGGCAACTAAGAAGTGGCTCCGTAAGAAGCATCTCAAGGTCCTGGAGTGGCCTAGCCAGTCTCAAACAAAATCAAAAAGGGTACTTTTGAAATATTACTATTAATAGTTTTAATGTTGAATAAATTCATGTGTACATTTTTTTCTTCTAAAACACTCCATATTTCAGAGCACACTATTAGGAGTTTAATGACATTAAGGTGTTGTCTGTATCATGTACGGTTAACAGATAATTAAGTCTTACAGGGGGCATGTATAGGTATAAAAAGGGCCTAAAATGGCCACTTTCATTATGATTTTCAAAAAAATGGTTTGTGTTACAAATGTAAAAAGAATATCAAACATCCTTCCTCCCAATAAAGTTTCTATGTGAGAATTGTCAGAACAATCTGAGATGGCCAAAAAAATGTTGGGCCCATGCAGGCATAAAATCGCATTAAAGCCTGTAGCGTTGTCTATACTGTTCTAGTATAAGCTAGACAGTAGCAGATAGCCGTTAGCCTGGTAGCCCAATCGTTTTGTGCTTTAAGTAGCCAATAGCATGCCAGTTTAGCATAACAACAACAAAGGAGTTGGGTAAAGCAGAAACAGGTTGGGCTACCAGGCTATGTGCTATGGTAGACAATGTTTTCCTCACTCATTTTATAAGAACTGGGTTAGATACTTGATAGAAGGAGAAACGTGTTCATGAATCTAGGTATTTTAAGAGCAGTAGCTTGCCTCTGAAAAGGCCTTAAAATAGAGAATTCAAGGCTAAATTTGCATCACAGCATAAATGCAACGTCAAGCATGAACTCCTTGCTCAGGGAAAAAAACTGCCAGTGCATTTTGCACTGTTGCCCCCTATTACCATGGAAACAGCAATTATATGCAGATTATAGAATTTGCATTTAAATGGCATTAAAAATAGATAAAATATTGCTGGTTAAAATTATTATTGCTGTTACAAACCAAAACCAGAACAAAATTCTAATTACACATATGAGTGTATTCCTGTCTTTCTGTTCCGCTTGTGTGTGCGTGTGTGTGTGTTTCTGTGTGCATGCTCACGGACTCACTCTGTAGTAGTCAGTGCTGTACACATCCCTGGACATGCCAAAGTCCCCAATCTTGACCAGTAGGTTCTCTCCCACCAGGCAGTTGCGTGTGGCCAGGTCTCTGTGGACAAAGTGCTGGGAGGCCAGGTAGACCATGCCTGCAGCGATCTGCTGGGCGATGTGCAGCATCTGGGACTGGGTCAGCTCCACCATCAGGCTGTGCTGCCCATCAGCCATCAGCACCGCGTCAGGACCATGGGACCTACATCACAACACAGGTGGGTCAAACACAATGCTAACTATAGTTATCTACAGTTGACTACAAAGAGGACTTAATCAGATATGTGCAAACGCATTCGCTTCCATTGCAGATCTCCAGTTTCAATTCAAATACAGTATCACCAACACACTTACATATGTGGCAAAATCCCCCATAACCTCTCATGCCTGATTAGACTAGACAACTTTATTATCCATTCAGTTTGCACAGAATGGAAATGTGTCTTTGGCGCTCTGGCTTAAAGTAAAATGATAAAAACTGACATAAAACATACACATTGAGCATTTACGTCAGTTATTGCTTTAATACAGTACACGTGAATGGGCAAACGTAATGACACACACATATGCACAAAGACATTGGGACACAGGACGGTACCTGAGGAACTTGTTGAGGTCGCCGTGCTTCATGTACTCGAACACCATGATGAGCGGGTCACTCTCCACACACACGCCGTAGAAGGTGACGATGTGCTCGTGCTGCAGGTTGGTCAGTAGCTCCGCCTCCCGGTGGAAGTCGGCACGCCCGCTCTCGCTGGCCTCTTTCAACGTCTGAGGAGGACACACACACACACACACACACACACACACACACACACACACACACACTTATCATAATTTAGTAATTGATTGATGGGATTGTTGATTGTTTCAAAGTCTCCTTCCTACAAAATTCGATTAAATCCTAAAATATATTAGTTGGCGGTGCTATAATCAAACACAATGTACATACAAACCTCAGATATGGGAAAAGCACAAACAGCTAAATATTTTATACTTTTTTTTTTATATCAAAGCCAGGACTAAAGTGTGTGTTGATTGTTTGAAATGACATGCATGGAGGGCCATACTTTACCTTGACAGCCACCAGGATCTTGTCCTGATCTGGGGTCAGGTTGTAGCACTCAGCCAGGAACACCTTCCCAAAGGCCCCCTCTCCCAGCTCACGCTTCAGCACAATATTGTGTCTCTTGATGTGCTGGACAACTGGGATGAAAAGAGACAGATACAGTAAGGCTATCACAAGGCCCTAGTCTAGAGGCCTAAGTTTTTCCTGATCATCATTTGAACTGACCAGGAAAAACTCTGGGCCCTAGTTAGAATTAGTCAGGTCGGGTGGTTAGGGAAAACTCCTGGCCCTACTCATTACATACACCGAAGTTAACAGCCCTAGTCTACTGCTGTATACAGTGGCTTGCGAAAGTATTCACCCCCCTTGGCATTTTTCCTATTTTGTTGCCTTACAACCTGGAATTAAAATGGATTTTTTGGGGGTTTCTATAATTTGATTTACCACTTTGAAGATGCAAAATCTTTTTTATTGTGAAACAAACATGAGGGTGCATAACTATTCAGCCCCCCAAAGTCAATACTTTGTAGAGCCACCTTTTGCAGAAATTACAGCTGCAAGTCTCTTGGGGTATGTCTCTATAAGCTTGGCACATCTAGCCACTGGGATTTTTGCCCATTCTTCAAGGCAAAACTGCTACAGCTCCTTCAAGTTGGATGGGTTCTGCTGGTGTACAGCAATCTTTAAGTCATACCACAGATTCTCAATTGGATTGAGGTCTGGGCTTTGACTAGGCCATTCCATAACATTTAAATGTTTCCCCTTAAACCACTCAAGTGTTGCTTTAGCAGTATGCTTAGGGTCATTGTCCTGCTGGAAGGTGAACCTCCGTCCCAGTCTCAAATCTCTGGAAGACTGAAACAGGTTTCCCTCAAGAATTTCCCTGTGTTTAGCGCCATCCATCATTCCTTCAATTCTGACCAGTTTCCCAGTCCCTGCCGATGAAAAACTTTGTCCCTGACCTGTTTGGAGAGCTCCTTGGTCTTCATGGTGCCGCTTGCTTGGTGGTGCCCCTTGCTTAGTGGTGTTGCAGACTCTGGGGCCTTTCAGAGCAGGTGTATATATACTGAGATCATGTGACAGATCATGTGACACTTAGATTGCACACAGGTGGACCTTATTTAACTAATTATGTGACTTCTGAAGGTAATTGGTTGCACCAGATCTTATTTAGGGGCTTCATAGCAAAGGGGGTGAATACATATGCACGCACCACTTTTTCGTTACTTCGTTTTTAGAATTCTTTGAAACACTTCATCAATTTAGACTATTTTGTGTATGTCCATTACATGAAATCCAAATAAAAATCGATTTAAATTACAGGTTGTAATGCAACAAAATAGGAAAAACGCCGAAGGGGATGAATACTTTTGCAAGGCACTGTAGAGGATGTCCACAGACTGGTCGCTTGTCAGACCAGTATGGACATTGTAGCCATTACAGAACTACATTTCTCACAGGGCTACAAGTGTGATAGTCAGATGTGTTTGTCTGTCTAGTGACATCCTCTGTGCCATACGGTCTGATATTACAGCATTAACTGCAGGTCACACGGCAAGAGGTCAACCAAAGTCATCGCCATGGTAACATCAGACAGGAAATGGACAGCGAAGTCCATCAAGTCGCAGTGGCCCTGTCATGGATTTATCAGAAAAAGACTGGGTTACACCACCAGCAGACCTCCGCGCCACGGTAACTCACACGTGTCCGATTTCAGCATACTGCCAGATTGGCGGAAATACTGTGGGTTCTCGATGACAGGGATCTTTGTCATTCCAATGATCACTGCATCGTGGCCCATCTCTGAGGACGAAGGGGTGTTGTTGCCGTTGGAGACATGATGAAGAGGACTGGCGGAGTCATCGTCGTTACTGATGACCGAGGAGGAGCCTGAGGAGGAAGTGGAGGACCCCAGTGGGAGGAAATACAATTATGAGAGGAGTGGAAGAGGGGTCTTTTTCATGTTTGACTTTTGTATGTTATCATGTGGCAAAACATAAGCTGGAATGTGGTGGGGCTAAATGGAATTAAAACTGTAGAAATGTGCACCTAAAACAAGATTTTCATTGTTATCCAAATGGGAGGCCTGCAAGTCTCAATACTGGTTTGAAAAATGACTAAACTAAGATTAAAGAGAAAAGCTTTACCCTTCATCCCAAACTTTGAGTTTCTTCCGTATTTCAGAATGATCACCATCAGAACACATCCAATTAATGCCACACCAGCGATCCCCACCACTATGTACACCTGGGAAAACACCATTCAACAACGTAAAATACTTGCCAATAACAGTGCACAACATTATAGTATATAAATAACCACACATGACAAATTATGACGTGTATGTTAACTTACTGCAACACTGTCCTCTATTGGGGGTAGTGGTAAGTCTGAGACAAAAATACCAAGCACAGGTCATATTTAATACAGAATGAAAACAGCATTAAACATACAAACATTGAAGTACATAATCGAACTATAATTTCTTCTGATTTCTTCTCTCACGTTAAAATGACTTTAGATTTTTCTCAAACGCTGAAAATAACCAGACAGTAGGTGTGTTAGCTACAGTGCATTCAGAAAGTATTCACACCCCTTGACTTTTTCCATATTTTACAGCCTGAATATAAAATGGATTACATTTAGATGTTTTTGCCCTACACACAATACCCCATAATGTCAGAGTGGAATTATTTTTTTCAAAAGTTTTACAAATTAATTAAAAATTAAAAGCTGAAATGTCTTGAGTCAATAAGTATTCAACACCTTTGTTATGGCAAGCCTAAATAAGTTCAGGAGTAAAAATGTGCTTGTTTTTTTATGACTCTCATCTCTTTGGCTGTGATAGGAGAAAACTGAGGATAGATCAACAACATTGGAGTTACTCCACAATACTAACCTAACTGACAGAGTGAAAAGAAGGAAGCCTGTACAGAATGAAAAATATTCCAAAACATGCATCCTGTTTGCAACAAGGAACTAAAGTAAATCTGCAAAACATTTGGTCAAGCAATTAACTTTTGTCCTAAATAAAAAGTGTTATGTTTGGGGCAAATCCAATACAACACATTCTTGAGTACCAGTCTCCATATTTTCAAACATAGTGGTGGCTGCATCATGTTATGGGTATGCTTGAGGGCTGGGAAGTTTTTCAGGATACAAAATAAAAGGAATGGAGCTAAGCACAGGCAAAATCCTAGAGGAAAACCTGGTTCAGTCTGCTTTCCACCAGACACTGGGAGATTAATTCACCTTTCAGCAGGACAATAACCTAAAACACAAGGCCAAATCTACACTGGAGTTGCTTACTAAGAAGACAGTGAATGTTCCAGAGTGGCCGAGTTACAGTTTTGACGTAAATTACTTCAAGATATGACGCAGATGCTAAGCTACAGGACTGTTTTGCTAGCACAGACTGGAACATGTTCCGGGATTCTTCAGACAGCATTGAGGAGTACACCACATCAGTCACTGGCTTCATCAATAAGTGCATCGATGATGTCGTCCCCACAGTGACCGTACGTACATACCCCAACCAGAAGCCATGGATTACAGGAAACATCCGCACTGAGCTAAAGGGTAGAGCTGCCGCTTTCAAGGAACGGGACTCTAACCCGGACGCTTATAAGAAATCCCGCTATGACCTCCGACGAACCATCAAACAGGCAAAGAGTCAATACAGGTCTAAGATTGAATCATACTACACTGGCTCTGACGCTCGTCGGATGTGGCAGGGCTTGAAAACTATTACAGACTACAAAGGGAAGCACAGCCGCGAGCTGCCCAGTGACACAAGCCTACCAGACGAGCTAAACCACTTCTATGCTCGCTTCGAGGCAAGCAACACTGAAGCATGCATGAGAGCACCAGCTGTTCCGGACGACTATGTGATCACGCTCTCCGTAGCCGATGTGAGTAAGACTTTTAAGCAGGTCAACATTCACAAGGCCGCAGGGCCAGACGGATTACTAGGACGTGTACTCCGAGCATGTGCTGACCAACTGGCAAGTGTCTTCACTGACATTTTCAACATGTCCCTGACTGAGTCTGTAATACCAACATGTTTCAAGCAGACCACCATAGTCCCCGTGCCCAAGAACTCTAAGATAACCTGCCTAAATGACTACCGACCCGTAGCACTGACGTCTGTAGCCATGAAGTGCTTTGAAAGACTGGTCATGGCTCACATCAACAGCATAATCCCAGAAACCCTAGACCCACTCCAATTTGCATACCGCCCCAACAGATCCACAGATGATGCAATCTCTATCGCACTCCACACTGCCCTTTCCCACCTGGACAAGAGGAACACCTACGTGAGAATGCTATTCATTGACTACAGCTCAGCATTCAACACCATAGTGCCCTCTAAGCTCATCACTAAGCTAAGGATCCTGGGACTAAACACCTCCCTCTGCAACTGGATCCTGGACTTCCTGACGGGCCGCCCCCAGGTGGTAAGGGTAGGTAACAACACATCTGCCACACTGATCCTCAACACGGGGGCCCCTCAGGGGTGCGTGCTCAGTCCCCTCCTGTACTCTCTGTTCACCCATGACTGCATGGCCAGGCACGACTCCAACACCATCATTAAGTTTGCCGACGACACAACAGTGGTAGGCCTGATCACCGACAACGATGAGACAGCCTATAGGGAGGAGGTCAGAGATCTGGCCGTGTGGTGCCAGGACAACAACCTCTCCCTCAACGTGACCAAGACAAAGGAGATGATTGTGGACTACAGGAAAAAAAAAGAGGACTGAGCACGCCCCCATTCTCATCGACGGGGCTGTAGTGGAACAGGTTGAGAGCTTCAAGTTCCTTGGTGTCCACATCACCAACGAACTATCATGGTCCAAACACACCAAGACAGTCGTGAAGAGGGCACGACAAAGCCTATTCCCCCTCAGGAGACTAAAAAGATTTGGCATGGGTCCTCAGATCTTCAAAAAATTCTACAGCTGCACCATCGAGAGCATCCTGACTGGTTGCATCACCGCCTGGTATGGCAACTGCTTGGCCTCTGACCGCAAGGCACTACAGAGGGTAGTGCGTACGGCCCAGTACATCACTGGGGCAAAGCTCCCTGCCATCCAGGACCTCTATACCAGACGGTGTCAGAGGAAGGCCCTCAAAATTGTCAAAGACTCCAGCCACCCTAGTCATAGACTGTTCTCTCTGCTACCGCACGGCAAGCGGTACCGGAGTGCCAAGTCTAGGTCCAAAAGACTTCTCAACAGCTTCTACCCCCAAGCCATAAGACTCCTGAACAGCTAATCATGGCTACCCGGACTATTTGCACTGCCCCCCCCACCCCATCCTTTTTACGCTGCTGCTACTCTGTTAAGTATTTATGCATAGTCACTTTAACTCTACCCACATGTACATATTACCTCAACTACCTCAACTAGCCGGTGCCCCCGCACATTGACTATGCAACGGTACCCCCCTGTATATATAGCCTCCCTACTGTCACTTTATTTTACTGTATATATAGCCTCCCTACTGTCACTTTATTTTACTTCTGCTCTTTTTTTCTCAACACTTTTTTGTTGTTGTTTTATTCTTACTTTTTTGTTTAAAATAAATGCACTGTTGGTTAAGGGCTGTAAGTAAGCATTTCACTGTAATGTCTGCACCTGTTGTATTCGGCGCATGTGACCAATAAAATTTGATTTGATTTGATTTGATTTGATATATGGCAAGACCTGAAAATTGTTGTCTAGAAATTATCAACAACCAATTTGACATAGCTTGAAGAATTCTGAAAAGAATAGTGGGCAAATGTTGCACAATCCCCAGAAAGACTCACAGCTGTAATCACTGCCAAAGGTGCTTCTACAAAGTATAGACTCAGGGGTGTGAATACTTGCAGTATGTAAATGAGATCTTTCTGTATTTCATTTTCAATAAATTAGTAAACATTTCTAAAAACATGTTTTCACTTTGGTATCCATTTTGAATTCAGGCTGTAACACAACAAAATGTGGAATAAGTAAAGGGCTATGAATACTTTCTGAAGGCACTGTATGTTACTTAATAGACAGGGCAAAGAGTCAGAAAAACTGGCATTTTGTCCAGTCAAAGGTTTCTCCATGGATTATGCTTGTCTATCCCCTACTAGCTTTTGGGCCACCCTGGATTTTGCCCCAAATCCAATATGTTCCCTCAGGATTTCATAGTTCAAGCACATACCAGTGGTGTCTGAGATGCAACAGGGTGATGACATCCCACAGCACAGGAAGAGCAGTGGACAGAGGACATGGAAAATATAACAAGGCAGGATCATCAATCTGTCATTATCCCTTAAGTCTTTAGGGCCCAGTGCAGTCAACAACAACATTTTCCTGTATTTTATATATACAGTGCATTCGGAAAGTATTCAGACCCCTTCACTTTTTTCACATTTTGTTACGTTACAGCCTTATTCTAAAATGGATTAAATTCTTTTTTTTCCTCATCAATCTACACACATGACCCCATAATGACAAAGCAAAAACAGGTTTTTAGACATTTTTGCAAATGTATTAAAAATAACAAACTGAAATATTACACTTACATAAGTATTCAGACCCTTCATTGAAGAACCTTTGGCAGCGATTACAGCCTCGAGTCTTCTTGGGTATGACGCTACAAGCTTGGCACACCTGTATTTGGGGAGTTTCTCCCATTCTTCTCTACAGATCCTCTCAAGCTCTGTCAGGTTGGATGGGGAGCGTCGATGCAAAGCAATTTTCAGGTCTCTCCAGAGATGTTTGATCGGGTTCAAGTCCTAAGGTCTGGCTGGGCTACTCAAGGACATTAACAATCTTGTCCCGAAGCCACTCCTGCGTTGTCTTGGCTGTGTGCTTAGGGTCGTTGTCCTGTTGGAAGGTGAACCTTCGCCCCAGTCTGAGGTCCTGAGTGCTCTGGAGCAGGTTTTCATCAAGGATCTCTCTGTACTTTGCTCCGTTTATCTTTCCCTCGATCCTGACTAGTCTCCCAGTCCCTGCCACTGAAAATCATCCCCACAGCATGATGCTGCCACCACCATGCTTCACCGTAGGGATGGTGCCAGGTTTCCTCCAGATGTGACGCTTGGCATTCAGGCAAAAGAGTTCAATCATGGTTTCATCAGACCAGAGAATTTTGTTTCTCATGGTCTGAGTCCTTTAGGTGCCTTTTGGCAAACTCCAAGCGGGCTGTTAAGTCCCTTTTACTGAGGAGAGGCTTCCGTCTGGCCACTCTACCATAAAGGCCTGATTGGTGGAGTGCTGCAGAGATGGTTGTCCTTCTGGAAGGTTCTCCGATCTCCACAGAGGAACTCTGGAGCTTTGTCAGAGTGACCATCGGGTTCTTGGTCACCTCCCTGACCAAGGCCATTGTCCCCAGATTGCTCAGTTTGGCCGGCGGCCAGCTCTAGGAAGAGTCTTGGTTGTTCCAAACTTCTTCCATTTAAGAAGGATGGAGGCCACTGTGTTCTTGGGGACCTACAATGCTGCAGAAATGTTTTGGTACCCTTCCCCAAATCTGTGCCTTGACAGAATCCTGTCTCGGAGCTCTACGGACAATTCATTCGACCTCATGGCTTGGTTTTTGCTCTGACATGCACTGTTAACTGTGGGACCTTATATAGACAGGTGTGTGCCATTCCAAATCATGTCCAATCAATTGGATTAACCACAGGTGGACACCAATCAAGTTGTAGAAACATCTCAAGGATGATCAATGGAAACAGGATGCACCTGAGCTCAATTTCAAGTCTCATAGCAAAGGGTCTGAATATTTATGTAAATAAGGTATTTCTTTCTTTTTCTTTTACATAAAAAAAAAAAAAAAAACTGTTTTCGCTTTGTCATTATGGGGTATTGTGTGTAGATTGATGAGGACATTTTATTTATTTAATCCATTTTGGAATAAGGCTGTAACGTAACAAAATGTGGAGAAAGTGAAGGGGTCTGAATACTTTCCGAATGCACTGTATATATACGGTACCAGTCAAAAGTTTGGATACAACTACTCATTCAAGGGTTTTTCTTTATTTTTAATATTTTCTACATTCTAGAATAATAGTGAAGACATCAAAACTATGAAATAACACATATGGAATCATGTAGTAACCAAAAAAGTGTTAAACAAATCCAAATATATTTTTAATTTGAGATTCTTCAAAGTAGCCACCCTTTGCCTTGATGACAGCTTTGCACACTCTTGGCATTCTCTCAACCAGCTTCACCTGGAATGCTTTTCCAACAGTCTTGAAGGAGTTCCCACATATGCTGAGCACTTGTTGGCTGCTTTTCCTTCACTCTGCGGTCCAACTCATCCCAAACCATCTCAATTGGGTTGAGGTCGGGTGATTGCGGAGGCCAGGTGATCTGGTGCAGCACTCCATCACTCTCCTTCTTGGTGAAATAGCCCTTACGCAGCCTGGAGGTTTGTTGGGTCATTGTCCTGTTGAAAAACAAATGATAGTCCCACTAAGCGCAAACCAGATGGGATGGCGTATCGCTGCAGAATGCTGTGGAAGCCATGCTGGTTAAGTGTGCCTTGAATTCTAAATAAATCACTGACAATGTCACCAGCAAAGCACCCCCACACCGTCACACCTCCTCCTCCATGCTTCACGGTGGGAACCACACATGCGGAGATCATCCGTTCACCTACTCTGCATCTCACAAAGACACTGTGGTTGGAACCAAAAATCTCAAATTTGGACTCCACCAGATTTCCACCAGTCTAATGTCCATTGCTCGTGTTTCTTGGCCCAAGCAAGTCTCTTCTTATTATTGGTGTCCTTTAGTAGTGGTTTCTTTGCAGCAATTCGACCATTAAGGCCTGATTCACAGTTGATGTTGAGATGTGTCTGTTACTTGAACTCTGTGAAGGATTCATTTGGGCTGCAATCTGAGGTGCAGTTAACACTAATTAACTTATCCTCTGCAGCAGAGGTAACTCTGGGTCTTCCTTTCCTGTGGCGGTCCTCATGAGAGCCAGTTTCATCATAGCGCTTGATGGTTTTTGTGACTGCACTTGAAGAAACTTTCAAAGTTCTTGGCATTTTCCGAATTGACTGACTTTCATGTCTTAAAGTAATGATGGACTGTCGTTTCTCTTTGCTTATTTGAGCTGTTCTTGCCTTGGTCTTTTACCAAATAGCGCTATCTTCTGTATACCACCCCTACCATGTCACAACACAACTGATTGGCTCGCATTAAGAAGGAAAGACATTCCACAAATTAACTTTTAAGAAGGCACACCTGTTAATTGAAATGCATTCCAGATGACTACCTTATGAAGCTGGTTGAGAGAATATCAAGAGTGTGCAAAGCTGTTATCAAGGCAAAGGGTGGCTACTTTGAAGAATCTCAAATATAAAATAAATGTTGATTTGTTTAACACTTTTTTGGTTACTACATGTGTAACCAACTACATTGTTTTGATGTCTTCAGTATTATTCTACAATGTAGAAAATAGTACAAATAAAGAAAACACCTGGAATGAGTAGGTGTGTCCAAACTTTTGACTGGTACTGTATATCCACACTATGTTGGAATAATACTGTACAATTGTGAGAATTATGATAAAGACCTTTTAGTGTAAGAGCTGTTTGAAAAGACTGGCTGAAATTTTAGCCTGTTTTGGTGGGATGGAGTGTTGGCCTCACGGGTGATGTCACCAGGTGGTAAATGAGTTAATAAACCAATAAGAAAGAGTTCCAAACCTCTCTGCCAAAAACAGCTAGTTTTCAGTTTTCCCCTCCCCACTCAGACCAGACTCCCAGACAGAGAAATTGCTCTTTGCTAAGAAGCTATATTTGTTTATTTTTGACAATTTAAATTGAAAACAATCACAGTAAGGTACTTCATTGTTAACCCAAAATGATTTGATATTGAGATATAAAAAAATGGCTGCATTGGATATTTAAAATTAAAGTAACTGTCTAGTGAAAATCTCACTTTTAAAAGTTAATATTCTATTAACTCATACCCAAATAATGTTGTTTACTCATCCTATACTCATACTGTATGTTGCCAAAGCATAAATTTGGTGGGGAAAAACACTTAGAAAACCGCACCTCAAACTTCTATGTCAAATGCTTGCTATTTCCTCATTGAGGATAATGGCATAGAGGCCAATCAGCAGTCTACTTGCGTGAATATTTGTATGACCGGTATACGCCCACACCATTCCAACACAGAAAAGCTGCTTTTTAACATTCTTAATTTTAAAAAATTGGAAGGAAAACTATTTCACTCATATTGTCATTAATTATAGGTCATATTTCATAGAAATCTGGAAACACTGGACAGTTACTTTAATGTAATGTCAAGAGAAAAACACATACTGTTGTTTGCTGTCTCTGTAACAGCACGTTTTAGAATTGTAATTCTTTGCAAAATTGCAATGTCTTAAGAAATACTTACATGGGTAGTTATATGGCGGTTCTGAAATAAGTGAAAAAGAGAATTGACATGTTATTCATAAACATCCATTACACATACCATGCTTCACAAAAAACAGTATATTCTCATAAAAAAGCTGCTATGAAGAACCATTTGTTCCCGTACGAGACCTCTGAAAAAAGGTTACCATTTTCAAGTCATATAGAACACTTTTTAGTTCCACATAGAACCTCTGGTTCCAAATATAACTTATGAAAGCATGCTATTTGTAACCAAAAAGGGTTTTATTTTACTTGAAAGGGTTCTATTTGGAACCTTTTTTCAGGTCCTACGGGGACAGATGGTTCTATATAGCACAGATTTTTTCGTAGGATCTAAAAACAGCTTATATATAGATTATATACAGTTGAAGTCGGAAGTTTACATACATTTAGGTTGGAGTCATTAAAACTCATTTTCCAACCACTCCTCAAATTTCTTGTTAACAAACTATAGTTTTGGCAAGTCGGTTAGGACATCTACTTTGTGCATGACACAAGTAATTTTTCCAACAATTGTTTACAGACAGATTATTTCACTTATAATTAATTGTATCACAATTCCAGTGGGTCAGAAGTTTACATACACTAAGTTGACTGTGCCTTTAAACAGCTTGGAAAATTCCAGAAAATGATGTCATGGCTTTAGAAGCTTTTGATAGGCTAATTGACATCATTTGAGTCAATTGGAGGCCTACCTTCAAACTCAGTGCATCTTTGCTTGACATCATGGGAAAATCAAAAGAAATCATCCAAGACCTCCAATTTTTTTTTTGTAGACCTCCACAAGTCTGGTTCATCCTTGGGAGCAATTTCCAAACGCCTGAAGGTACCACGTTCATCTGTACAAACAATAGGACGCAAGTATAGACACCATGGGACCACACAGCCGTCATACCGCTCAGGAAGGAGACGCGTTCTGTCTCTTACAGATTAACGTACTTTGGTGCGAAAAGCGCAAATCAATCCCAGAACAACAGCAAAGGACCTTGTGAAGATGCTGGAGGAAACAGGTACAAAAGTATCTATATCCACAGTAAAACGAGTCCTATATCGACATAACCTGAAAGGCCGCTCAGCAAGGAAGAAGCCACTGCTCCAAAACCGCCATAAAAAAGCCAGACTACGGTTTGCAACTGCACATGGGGACAAAGATCGTACTTTTTGGAGAAATGTCCTCTGGTCTGATGAAACAAAAATAGAACTGTTTGGCCATAATGACCATCGTTATGTTTGGAGGAAAAAGGGGGTACCTTGCAAGCCGAAGAACACCATCCCAACCGTGAAGCACGGGGGTGGCAGCATCATGCTGTGGGGGTGCTTTGCTGCAGGAGGGACTGGTGCACTTCACAAAATAGATGGCATCATGAGGAAGGATAATTATGTGGATATATTGAAGCAACATCTCAAGACATCAGTGAGGAAGTTAAAGCTTGGTCGCAAATGGGTCTTCCAAATGGACCATGATCCCAAGCATACTTCCAGTTGTGGCAAAATGGCTTAAGTACAACAAAGTCAAGGTATTGGAGTGGCAATCACAAAGCCCTGACCTCAATCCTATAGAAAATATGTGGGTAGAACTGAAAAAGCGTGTGCAAGCAAGGAGGCCTACAAACCTGACTCAGTTACACCAGCTCTGTCAGGAGGAATGGGCCAAAATTCACCCAACTTATTGTGGGAAGCTTGTGGAAGGCTACTCGAAACGTTTCACCCAAGTTAAACAATTTAAAGGCAATGCTGCCAAATACTAATTGAATGTATGTAAACTTCTGACCCACTGGGAATGTGATGAAATAAATAAAAGCTGAAATAAATCATTCTCTCTAATATTATTCTGACATTTCACATTCTTAAAATAAATTGGTGATCCTAACTGACCTAAGACAGGGATGTTTTACTAGGATTAAATGTCAGGAATTGTGAAAAACTGAGTTTAAATGTATTTGGCTAAGGTGTATGTAAACTTCTGACTTCAACTGTAGCATCTTATATAGAATTGCAGTAACTATAAACGAAACTGGAGTGAGACCTGTATCGTAGTCTGTGTCTGGCGGGAGCAGGAAGTGGGCGTCGATTACTTTTTGGTCCTCCCCGTACTCGTTCCTGACCACCAGCGTATACTGCCCATTGTGGATGTGAGTCGGGTTGACAAGCTGCAGGCAGCCGTGGTGAACGCTCCCTGTGCTCTCGTGGATCTCGGTCTTGATGTACTCCTGTTCGTGGAGCTCTTGGTCCTTGTGGTACCACCGCAGCTCGGGCTTGGGGTTTCCGGTCACACTGAAGGGGATGCACCAGTGGTGGAGGCGCAAAGGCTCCAGCAGCTCCAGGATAGTGGGGCGAACTGACACAGAGACAACAGGAATAATAGTCACAGGGTACTGGGAGTGGGTGCTAGACACGAGGAAGGAGGACTGGAGGAGTGCAGTGGGAGACTGGGGAAAGGGGGCTAGACAGGAGGGAGATTATGATAGGGCATTGAGGGCAACCAGGAGCTAAACAGAATGAGGAGTACAGTATGGCAAGGTGACAGGAGACATGTAGAGTCAATCAGAATGTTGAGCGATAGTGGATAGTATCATTTCAGTAAGGACACAGAACCACCAGAGGTAGTCTTTCAGAATGTTGACGACCAATACTAGGATGCTACAGATCCAGGATAAAATTACATTTTGCAACCACAGTGCCAGAATAAAATAAACAAAAAAATGGTATAGGCACTCAACACAACAGAACATGTCCTTACAGAGGATGTTGAGTTGGAGGTAAGCCTCGGTTTGGCCGACTACGTTCTCAACATTGCAAGTGATCACTCTGCCGTTGTCGGAAGGCAAGAGACCTAACAGTGTCAGATTGCTCTCCAGCTCCAAGGCATTGATCTGTAAATACATTTAGCAATATTAGCATTGTCATGATGAGCATAAGCATTATTAGCTTTAGCATTAGCATTATTATTAATAGTAACATGTATTACACAGTAAATACAGTTAATAACAAATCATGGTGATCATAGTGAAACATATTTAATGCTGTATGTTATAAAACGCCTAAAACTATGGAGTGATGTGCTGTTATTATAATAATAAAATGATATATTCTTCTTTACGTATTGAAACATAAAAAAAAGTTTCATGTAAAAAAAATAATGTTTTAAAAATTGATTGCTATGGGGCCTCCTGAGTGGCGCAGCGGTCTAAGGCACTGCATTGCAGTGCTAGAGGCGTCACTACAGACCTGGGTTCGATCCCGGGCTGTATCACAACCGGCCGTGATCGGGAGTCCCATAGGGCGGCGCACAATTGACCCAGCGTCGTCCAGGTTAGGGGAGGGTTTGGCCGGGGGGGCTTTACTCTACTCATCTATACAGTGTATTCAGACCCCTTGACATTTTGTACGTTACAGCCTTATTCTAAAATTGATACTATAGTTTTTTTCCCTCATCAATCTACACACAATACCCCATAATGACAAAGCAAAAACTGTTTTTTAGACAAACTGAAATATGACATTTACATAAGTATTCAGACCCTTTACTCAGTACTTTGTTGAAGCACCTTTGGCAGCGATTACATCCTTGAGTCTTCTTGGGTATGACGCTACAAGCTTGGCACACCTGTATTTGGGGAGTTTCTCCCATTCTTCTCTGCAGATCCTCTCAAGCTATGTCAGGTTGGATGGGGAGCGTTGCTGCACAACTATTTTCAGGTCTCTCCAGAGATGTTCGATCGGGTTCAAGTCCGGGCTCTGGCTGGGCCACTCAAGGACATTCAGAGACTTGTCCGAAGCCACTCCTGCGTTGTCTTGGCTGTGTGCTTAGGGTCATTGTCCTGTTGGAAGGTGAACCTTCGCCCCAGTCTGAGGTCCTGAGCGCTCTGGAGCAGGTTTTCATCAAGGATCTCTCTGTTCTTTGCTCCGTTCATCTTTGCCTCGATCCTGACTACTCTCCCAGTCCCTGCCGCTGAAAAACATCCCCACAGCATGATGCTTTCACCACCATGCTTCACCGTAGGGATGGTGCCAGGTTTCCTACAGACATGACGCTTGGCATTCAGACCAAAGAGTTCAATCTTGGTTTCATCAGACCAGAGAATCTTGTTTCTCTTGGTCTGAGAGTCTTTAGGTGCCTTTTGGCAAACTCTAAGCGGGCTGTCATGTGCCTTTTACTGAGGAGTGGCTTCCGTCTGGCCATTCTACCATAAAGGCCTGATTGGTGGAGTGCTGCAGAGATGGTTGTCCTTCTGGAAGGTTCTCCCATCTCCACAGAGGAACTCTAGAGCTCTGTCAGATCGACCATCGATTTCTTGGTCACCTCCCTGACCAAGGCCCTTCTCCCCCGATTGCTTAGTTTGCCCTGGCGGCCAGCTCTAGGAAGAGTCTTAGTGGTTCCAAACTTCTTCCATTTAAAGAATGATGGAGGCCACTGTGTTCTTGGGGACCTTCAATGCTGTAGAAATGTTTTGGTACCCTTCCCCAGATCTGTGCCTCATCACAATCCTGTTTCGGAGCTCTAGGACAATTCCTTCGACCTCATGGCTTGGTTTTTGCTCTGACATGCACTGTCAACTGTTGGACCTTATATAGACAGGTGTGTGCCTTTCCAAATCATGTCCATACAATTGAATTTACTACAGGTGGACTGCAATCAAGTTGTAGAAACATCTCCAGGATGATCAATGGAAACAGGATGCAGCTGAGCTCAATTTCATGTCTCATAGCAAAGGGTCTGAATACTTATGTAAATAAGGTTCTGTTTTTTGTTTTTAATACATTTGCAAACATTTCTAAAAACCTGTTTTCATTTTGTCATTATGGGGTATTGTGTGTAGATTGGTGAGGATATATATATTTAAAATCCATTTTAGAATAAGGCTGTAACGTAACAAAATGTGAAAAAGTCAAGGGGTCTGAATACTTTCCGAAGGCACTGTATATATTTGTGTGTTATGGTGTCAGTTGAGGAAAGTGCATTACATACAAAGCCAAGAGCTTTTCCCTGCCCACATGACCTAATCAGGAACAACTCCTAGCCCTAGTAATAGTCAAAGGGTTGTGTCATAATATACCAAAACAAAGATCATAATCTTACCTTAGTGATGGTAAACAGACTGTCGATATTCCACAAGATATCAGGGGCAGGAGACCCTGTTGCACTGCACACTGCTCTGACATCACTTCCCTCTGTCTTTGTGATGATAGAGGGACGGACCTCCGCTGCGGGAGCCTCTGTGAGTCAAACGTAAACAGAACCTTTAACAATGTTGTTTTACTGTACAAGTCGCACCTAAGTGACCTTCACTTGATTTCTACATCATGCTGTTTACTGACTATTTGAAAAGAAAAGTCGAAGCAATACACTGGCATTCTAGTATGCTCCTCAATGTTCCACACATACGCACGCACACACACTCTCTCTCTCTCTGCTTTGTCACAACATGTTTAGTGTAGTTCCCTGTTTGTATGTCTGTCTTTCTCTGGGGTTGACATTACCACAATCAGGGGGAGAGAATCTGGAGATGGCCCTCTTCACTGCTCTGTCATCTATGCATTTCAGCTCTTGACTCTCTGTACTGTCAATGTCCTCTTGCAGCCTCAGTTTGATCCACATGTTCTCACATACACACTTCAGAGGGTTACCAGACAGGAGAGGACTAGAGGAAAGAAACAGAGCATTAAGACACACACTCACACACACACACAAATACTTGCAATCACATATTCATAGGCGTTTGCACTTTAAAATAAGAATGACATGACATAAAATAGTAAATAAGGATAGGTACTTACAAAGATGTCATGTTTAAGTTTAGGAATGTCCTCCAAGAGAGTGTTGACAAGTTATTATCTCTCAGATTCCTATGAGTCAAAATAATAAATCATAAACGTTACAATGAACCAACTATTGTGGTCAGACTGACATAAATAATGTTATTAATGTACAGGTAACTGCCAAAATAAAGGAAACACCAACAGAAAGTATCTTAATACGGCATTGGGCCACCACGAGCCGCCAGAACAGCTCCTATGCGCCTTGGCATAGATTCTACAAGTGTCTGGAACCAGTGCTTGACTTGGACTGAAATAGGTGCCGGTACTCATTTTGGGTGCCGGTACTGTTTACATTTAGGTGCAGGAGCACCACAATACTTTTGAGTTAATATTCTATAAGAGGAACAGGAGCTCAAGCAGTAGAACATTTGAGTTGCCGGTACTCTGCTCCGGTGAGCTCCTGCCCAAGTCAAGCACTGTCGGGAACTCTGTTGGAGGGAAGCGACACCATTCTTCCATGAGAAATTTCATAATTTTGAGTTTTGTTTATGGTGGTGAAAAACACTGTCTCAGGTGCCAGTCCAGAATCTCCCATACGTGTTGAATTGGGTTGAGATCTGGTGATACACACACACCATTTAAACCCCCTACGCGCCTTTGAGACCCCTCTTTCAAAGTCACTGAGATTTTTATACATGACCCTAAGCATAATGGGATGTTTTAATTGCTTAATTAACTCAGGAACCATACCTGTGTGGAAGCGCCTGCTTTCAATGTACTTTGTATCCCTCATTTACTCAAGTTTCCTTTATTTTGGCAGTTACCTGTATATACAGTAATCAATCCAAAAGCAATGTGTGTGATTAAACTAAAATGAAAAAGTATGTTGGAACGGAACGCCCGCTCTATTTACTCTATCACCTTTACTTGTTTTGCACCTAGCACCTTTTAACTATGCATTAACAACAACAACAAAATTGATAGAGGAGTCCGGCCATTAAACACAATGCTCCTCACTGTTTGCTGAGCGTGTCGTCCCGTTACCCAGCCATGAGGCTGATCTGTATGTGCTTGAACCAGCTCCTCTGACTATAGTAGACATTATCATGCCAATCCATACAGATTTGGACAATAATTACCACATTAGAAGTGTTGACTGCAAGGCTTCAGTGTAAGGTTAGTACAGATGTAGAATCTTAATTTGAGCCAGTTTGCTACAGCAGGAAAATAATCCTGCAGCAACAGGAAATGATAATTATTATGTGGATTAAATTAATGGACATTTTTGTAGGGGCTGATTACATTTTTCATTAGGGCAAATCAAGTTTCAAAGTGGAAAATACAAACTTTAGAAGCCTTTTTAAAACTCAAATACACTACAAGTTTGCATTTCCTGCTGTGCAGGAACATTCTCAGCAACAAAAGAGTGATCAAATGAAGATCCTCCATCTGTAAGAATCTACTTCCCTATAATATGAATTGGGCTTAATTGTTTGTGATTGGCTTGGGGCCCCTACATTTGCTCTTTGAAAGTACATTAGCTACATCTGTGAGAAGGAAGATGAGAAGGAAAACACCAAACAGAGGACCAATCAAAGACTATACAGTACTTACAGATATTGAAGTCTTGTATTGTTGAAAAAGGCCTGTGATGAGATAGAAGTCAATCTCGTATTTGTCACAGTTCTGTTCGAAGGGGGGGGGGGGGGGGGGGGAGTGAATATTTGTTATTTTTAAAGTCACAATTACATATTAATATAGTTCAACCATAACATACTCTATAAATATTCCATAACACAGTCTGGATCCTAACCTTGCGTAATACTAATACTTACAGATTTCTGAGGTTTGAGTAGTACTTCAAGCTGTTATCATTGATGTCAAATAGTCTGTTTTGATTTGCAATGTATCTGTAAAAGTTCAATACAAAATAATTACAAATGATTATTATTACAAAAATGTAATGGAAATAATATAGTATTTGGCCATTATGTCCATCTTGGGCAGTTTCACAAGTTTCTGAACTGTTTTGCGGGAATCTGTAGCTTCTCTTCATGATAGATTTGATAGTGGTAGAAACTAGTGTTTCTTTGGACACTCCCCCTAATATCTACTGATTAGAACAGCTAAGATGATTATTGATATCTCTTTACACTAGAGTATACAACACCTGGATGAGTGATGGTGGTGCATGTAATATTAATGTTTAGAATTAATTATTAATGTTAAATATTCATAATAATTCATGAAAATGCTTTGTATGCCAAGGTAATATGCCAGTAGACCCTCATCAATTAAGGTTTTCTTTTGATTAAGCTATGGATGGTATGGGAGGACACAGTTAAGTACAACACCACCCTGTCTAGATGTAGGCTATGGCCCCTACATGCTGTTGGTGTTAGTTTGCTCACTAACTGTATTTGCCCAGGAGCAATATAGGTGTCAGGCACAATACTCTACACTATATATTACTCCGAGAATTAACTGAGCATGGATATATGTTATAGGCCTACTGTACTAAAATATGCTGCAATAGCTAATAGGCCTGATAAACTAGATAAAGTACACTTATCACCAACAACATGCAGTGGTAATGCACTGTTTTCTCCACACATGCCTTATCTGTTTATTGTCTATCAAATGAACTCATCCTGTCCATCTCTAGCACTTCAACAATTGTGGCCTAAACCTAATAAATGGCTTTAAACCAGTGTCTTATACAGATACCACTGTGACTGTGTGCTAACGTGTTTGATATTTACAAGAACCACTTCGGGCAGTTATTGGTAACCAAGGTACAGTCCATATAGTCCATTGATTGTTACGATGGGTATTTTGTGGGGGTGACATAGACCCGAGTCTGTACTGAGTCTGTTATGTTGGCTAGCCTACATTATAATCGTGATTTGGCTAATTTATCTGACATTGTTTTCCTTTGTGTTTTTGTCTTGCTTCCCCCAGTCTGCATGTTGGAGCCACGGCAGCCATCATGCCATAATCCCCCATAAATATCATTACCACTATCCCTGGAAGGGCCTGGTTTCTAGAGGATGATAGCCTAATCCAAATATTCCCAACAACGCGTACCCCTACCACCTGACACGTGGTACCCCCCCCCCCCCCCCCCCCCCCTTAGCGTGATAATTATCCTACACTATTATATGCTGCAGCTGTAGCCTACTTATTTCATTTTTTATTGTTGCTTAGGTTAGGCTATGTCTCCATACGAAACTGAGAACATGAGAGATGAACAGCCTAAATAGTATGGCATAGTAGATACACCTTATTTTGTGATACACCTTAGATGTTTTTGTATTTATTTGTTTGATCATTGGTCTGACATTGGTTTGCTTAAAAACATGAACCTTTATGCAATTGTCCCGTTCATTGTAGGTTTGCCATGTCTGCAATGGCGTAGCCATTTATTTTAATTAATCGATACTTACATATCGGTGATGTTGATGTCCATTTCTATGTCATCTAACGTAAGGATAGGGAAATCCTCGATCCCTGGTTCAGGATCGATACAAGCAATCCTTGAGATGCTGCAAGTGCAGAATGCAGGGCAAGCAGCGCTAAACCTCCACAGCCCCATCAAAACCATAAAGATTCCCAAGCGAGCCATTCCATATTTCCCTACGTTGGAGTCCATCGCAGGTCCAACGATATCTCACGGTAGGTATTGATCAAATCTGGATATTATGAATTTCCCCCCTCCTATAGCCAAATTAATCCGTTCGGCACAACTAATGAGACTACCTTTGATCACGAATGCGCAATCCCCTCAATGTAATATTAGGATGCCATGGAATGGCCTCTGTCTCCGCAGAATTGGTATCACACTACTGCATATCGATGCCGTGAAGCAAGGTGTCAAGTGCTCCGTCCTCCGTCTCACCCGTCTCTTTCTCAGAGGCAGAGCGTGGTAAAACGTGGCGCTCCAGATGTTTTGGGGGAGCAACCCGTTTTCCTGGTGATTCTTCTTCATATGCAGTAGTGATGGAGATGGAAATAAGAGAGACTGCACGGTGGAGTCAGAATGCGTGGTGATGTAGCGACAGAGTGCGTATGCGAGGAGGCAGGGTACCTGCATTCGTCTATTGATTACCGCTGTGGAAGAGCGCATCTCCGCCAGTCATCGCTGGAATTGCGTTTATACAGAAATGTATTGCTGACAGTTTATCAACATTTATCAGTGTTAGGACTATTCAACAGCTATGCTTATCATGCACACATATTCTGAAAAATAGGTGGGAATAGGCTATACAAACTATTGCCCTACATGTATTTATTTATTTTATTTTATTTAACCTTTATTTAACTAGGCAAGTCAGTTAGGAACAAATTCATATTTACAATGACGGCCTACCTACATCCTTATCTTATAATAGGAGGTTTAATATTTGGTTGAAATGGAATTACATTACCTATATTTGTAATGTTTGATGTGCCAATTTTATTCTGCATACCGACAACCTCGGTCTATAGGCCTACATAGTGCTTTTTCCAACAATACCACAGTTCCATGGATGGTCATTACGAGTGTGACGTGCAGTTTGACGCACAAGACGAGCTGCATCTAAGAAAAATAATTAAACAAAATATGTTTGTGTATGTGCTTCAAATGGGTTTTCCATCCGAGGAAAAAAGACGGCGGAGAAATACTGTAGCTGCTATCGAAATAGTCGTAATTTGTCAAAGCAAACAGATAGGTTATGGTTAGCATATGTTGTTAAAAATACATATTTGTGGATATGTCAGTTATTGGGGGGCCATGAGATTACATATTTATCTATTTATGAAAAATGTGCTATTGTAATAGCTAACTTGGATAGATTATTAAAAAAATATATGTAATATGCTCAGTTCCATTTTTTTATCTAGGAACTTTTCAATTTGAGGACAAGTAAATCTGCTGCAGACAAAGGTCATGGACAAGAAGAGTCCTGGCACATGACACGGTTATTTTTATTCCAGGTGGTAAACACACACAGGTGCTGTGATGTTGTGGGAAAATTGTATCTCTGAGGGATAATTGTTATAATTTTGACAAGGTCCTTTAGTGATTGCATAAATATCACAATAAGCAAGTGAAGGAAATTTCAGACAACAATGGCTATTGAAATGAGATCATTTAAAACATTTGTGATCTTTAATAGAGTAATGTTCTTAGGACAATTAAAGATAAAATCAACTGGACAAAACATTGCAACCATGTGCAATTAGCTTTCTGCCCCTGTGCCTCAGCTTAATCACATGGAATTTATGAAGAATATTTATAGAAATAGAAACAGGATAGTACCCGTTTGTGATTTACTCCTCTACTTATTTGGACAGTGTAATGAATACTCAGGGAGAAAAAGGTGTAGATTCACGAGCAGAGCGCGGCAGGTGTTTATTACGCCTTCGCAGAAGGCAGGAATCGTGGTCACAGGCAGGCAATGGTCATACACAGGTAGGCAAACAGGCAGGAGAATCAAAAACTAGGACTGAAGGCTATAACTGGTTCTCACAAACGAGCTGGGAAAGGCTTAGTAGAGTCAAAACGAACAATACCCCACAAGGCACTAACAGAAAGAACTGAACTAAATAAAGAGCTGATGAGACCAGGTGAGTAACTAACACAGGTGAAATCCATGAACAAAAATGAACGACAGGGCTACGTTCACGAACACAAAGAAACAGGGCTACGTTCAAGAACACAAGGTGAACCAAGAAAATAAATACAGAACCTTACAGACAGTGAAGCTAAAACTTTTAATTCTGCTCTATAATCCAGCATTTTGGATTTGAGATCAAATGTTTTATATGAGGTGGCAGAACAGAATGTCACCTTTTATTTTAGCGTATTTTCATACATATCTGTTTTACCATTTAGAAATGAATGCACTTTATATATCTACTGTAGTCCCACCATTTGAAGGTGTCAAGTATTTGGACAAATTCATAGGGTATTAAATGTAGTCAAAAATGTAGTATTTGGTCCCATATTCCTACCACGCAATTATTACATCATAATTGTGACTCTACAAACTTGTTGGATGTATTTGGCAGTTTAGTTTTGGTTGTGTTTCGGAATACGTTGTGACCAATAGTAGAATGGTAAATAATGTATTGTGTCATTTTGTAGTCATTTTTATTGTAAATAAGCATAGAATATGTTTCTTAACACTTCTACATTAATGTAGATGCTACCATGATTACGGATAATCATGAATGAATCGTGAATAATGATGAGTAAAAAAGTTACATATGTACAAAGATCATGCCCCCAAGACATGCTAACCTCTCACCATTACCATTTACAGGGGAAGTTAGCATTTTTGGGCATTATTCTGATTAATGAAAAGAGTAACGCAGATTTAGCGGTGTATCCAATAGCAATTGTTACATTGTAATGAAACCAATGTCATTTGATGTCTGCACCATTAGCTTGCTACATTTTGAAAACAGATGTTAGGCTACTTTGTTTTTTCTGAATCATTGCCAGCGGTTGGAAAAGTACCCCATTTTTTAACTTGAGTAAAAGTAAAGATACCTTAATAAAAGATAACTCAAGTAAAAGTGAAAGCCACCCAGTAAAATAATACTTGAGTAAAAGTATAAAAGTATTTGGTTTTAAATATACTTAAGTATCAAAAGTAAATGTAATTGCTAAAATATACTTAAGTATAAAAAATAAAAGTAAAAGTATAAATCATTTCAAATTCCTTATATAAAGCAAACCAGACGGCATTATTTTCTTGTTTTTTAAATGTGCGTATAGCCAGGGGCATTCTTCAACACTCATCATTTACAAACAAAGCATTTGTGTTTAGTGAGTCCGCCAGATCAGAGGCAGTAGGGCTGACCAGGGATGTTCTCTTGATAAGTGTGAATTAGACAATTTTCCTGTCCTGCTATGCATTCAAAATGTAAGGAGTACTTTTGGGTGTCAGGGAAAATGTATGGAGTAAAAAGTACATCATTTTCTTTAGGAATGTAGTGAAGTAAAAGTAAAAGTAGTCAAAAATATTAATAGTAAAGTACAGATACCCCAAAAATAGTACTTTCAACTATTTTTACTTAAGTACTTTACACCACTGATCATTGCAATGATGACCACCATATGGTGCTGCAGCTCCTGACCAATTCTGCTATTTTGTGTGTTTTTTTCAAGCTGATTTGAACTTTTTGGTATATAATGTCACAACTATAATTTCCTATGACCAAAAACAGCTTCTGCACATCTGAACAGCAATCGCTATTATCGATTTGGAAGAACATTTCTACTTCAACGAGTCTACATGTCTGGACGTTCTGCTTACTGATAAACTGCAGACCATACTATTTACCAAGATAGTTTTCATCTACACTGCTCAAAAAAATCAAGGGAACACTAAAATAACACATCCTAGATCTGAATGAATGAAATAATCTTATTAAATACTATTTTCTTTACATAGTTGAATGTGCTGACAAAAAAATCACACAAAAATTATCAATGGAAATCAAATGTATCAACCCATGGAGGTCTGGATTTGGAGTCACACTCAAAATTAAAGTGGAAAACCACACTACAGGCTGATCCAACTTTGATGTAATGTCCTTAAAACAAGTCAAAATTAGGCTCAGTAGTGTGTGTGGCCTCCACGTGCCTGTATGACCTCCCTAAAACACCTGGGCATGCTCCTGATGAGGTGGAGGATGGTCTCCTGAGGGATCTCCTCCCAGACCTGGACTAAAGCATCCGCCAACTCCTCAATTGGATTCAGGTCTGGGGAATGGGCGGGCCAGTCCATAGCATCAATGCCTTCCTCTTGCAGGAACTGCTGACACACTCCAGCCACATGAGGTCTAGCATTGTCTTGCATTAGGAGGAACCCAGGGCCAACCGCACCAGCATATGGTCTCACAAGGGGTCTGAGGATCTCATCTCGGTACCTAATGGCAGTCAGGCTACCCCTGGCGAGCACATGGAGGGCTGTGCGGCCCCCCCAAAGAAATGCCACCCCACACCATGACTGACCCACCGCCAAACCGGTCATGCTGGAGGATGTTGGAGGCAGCAGAACGTTCTCCACGGCGTCTCCAGACTCTGTCACGTCTGTCACATGTGCTCAGTGTGAACCTGCTTTCATCTGTGAAGAGCACAGGGCGCCAGTGGAGAATTTGCCAATCTTGGTTTTCTCTGGCAAATGCCAAACGTCCTGCACGGTGTTGGGCTGTAAGCACAACCCCCACCTGTGGACGTCGGGCCCTCATACCACCCTCATGGAGTCTGTTTCTGACCGTCTGAGCAGACACATTTGTGGCCTGCTGGAGGTCATTTTGCAGGGCTCTGGCAGTGCTCCTCCTGCTCCTCCTTGCACAAAGGCGGAAGTAGCGGTCCTGCTGCTGAGTTGTTGCCCTCCTACGGCCTCCTCCACATCTCCTGATGTACTGGCCTGTCTCCTGGTAGCGCCTCCATGCTCTGGACACTACGCTGACAGACACAGCAAACCTTCTTGCCACAGCTCGCATTGATGTGCCATCCTGGATGAGCTGCACTACCTGAGCCACTTGTGTGGGTTGTAGACTCCGTCTCATGCTACCACTAGAGTGAAAGCACCGCCAGCATTCAAAAGTGACCAAAATATCAGCCAGGAAGCATAGGAACTGAGAAGTGGTCTGTGGTCACCACCTGCAGAACCACTCCTTTATTGGGGGTGTCTTACTAATTGCCTATAATTTCCACCTGTTATCTATTCCATTTGCACAACAGCATGTGAAATGTATTGTCAATCAGTGTTGCTTCCTAAGTGGACAGTTTGATTTCACAGAAGTGTGATTGACTTGGAGTTGCATTGTGTTGTTTAAGTGTTCCCTTTATTTTTTTGAGCAGTGTATATTTTTTGTAGCTGTCTATTTACCATTACAAACCGATGCTGGCACTAAGACCGCACTCAGCAAGCTGTATAGGGCCATAAGCAAACAAGAGCATGCACATCCAGACACAGCGTTTCTTGTGGCAGGGGATTTTAATGCAGGGAACTGAAATCCGTTTTACCAAATTTTTACCAGCATGTCATCGGTGCAACTAGAGGACACAAAACTCTTGATCACTTTTACTACACACGCAGAAAAGCATACAAGGAAAATCAACCTTTGTCAAATCAGACCATAATTCTATCTTCCGGTTTTCTGCTTACAAGCAAAAACTCAAACAGAATGTACCAGTGACGCACTCAATAAGGAAGTGGTCCGATGAAGCAGATGCTAAGCTACAGAACTGTTTTGCTAGCACAGACTGGAATTTGTTCCGGGATTCATCCGATAACATTGAGGAGTTTACCACATCAGTCACCGCCTTCATTAATAAGTGCAGGCAAAGTGTCAATACAGGACTAAGATCGAATCCTACTACGCCGGCTCTGATGCTCGACAGATATGGCAGGGCTTGCAAACTATCAAGGATTACAAAGGGAAACCCAGCCATGCGAGCCTACCAAACGAGCTAAATGCCTTCTATGCTCGCTTCGAGGCAAACAACACTGACCCATGCATGAATGCACCAGCTGTTCCGGACGACTGTGTGATTTCGCTCTCCGTTGCCGATGTGAGTAACACCTTTAAACAGGTTAACATTCACAAAGCCACGGCGGAATACCAGGACGCATACTCAGAGTATGCGCTGACCAGCTGGCAAGTGTCTTCACTGACATTTTCAACCTATCCCTGACCCGGTCTGTAATACCAATTTGTTTCAAGCAGACCACCATAGTGCCTGCCTAAATGACTATCGCCCCCTAGCACTCACAACTATAGCCATGAAAAGACACCCTGGACCCCACTGAAATTCGCATCCTGTGTCAACAGATCCATAGATGATGCAATCTCTATTGCACTCCACACTGCCCTCACCCACCTGACAAAAGGAATACCTATGTAAGAATGCTGTTCATTGACTACAGCTCAGCATTCAACACCATAGTCCCTACCAAACTCAGGGCCCTGGGACTGAACATCTCCCTCTGCAACTGGATCCTAGACTTCCTGACGGGCTGCCCCCATGCGTTGAGGGTAGGCAACAACACATCTGCCACGCTGACCATCAACACAGGGTCCCCTCAGGGGTGTGTGCTTAGTCCTCTCCTGTACTCCCTGCTCACACATGACTGCGTGGCCGAGAGCCTCAAGTTCCTCTGTGTTCACATCACTAAAGAATTAACATGGTCCTCACACACCCACACAGTTGTGAAGATGGCACAACAGTGCCTCTTCCCCCTCAGGAGGCTGTAAAGATTCGGCATGGGCCCTCAAATCCTCAAAAAGTTATACAGCTGCACCATTGAGAGCATCTTGACTGGCAAGGCGCTACAGAAGGTGGTGAGTACGGCCCAGTACATCACTGGGGCCGAGCTCCCTGCCATCCAGTACCTCTATTCCAGGCGGTGTCGGAGGAAGGCTCAAAATATTGTACCAGTGCATCAAGTCTGGAACCAACAGGACCCTGAACAGCTTCTACTCCCAAGCCATAAGACTGTTAAACATGGCTGCTAAATAGCTAATCAAATGGCTACCCTGACTACCTGTATTTACCCTTTTTTTTCACTAACTCTATGTGTAACCGGTGTGAAATGGCTAGCTAGTTAGCGGTGCGCGCTAGTAGCGTTTCAATCGGTGACGTCACTCGCTCTGAGACCTTGAAGTAGTAGTTTCCCTTGCTCTGCAAGGGTCGTGGCTTTTGTGGAGCGATGGGTAACGGTGCCTTGAGGGTGACTGTTGTCGATGTGTGCAGAGCGTCCCTGGTTCAATCCCAGGTTTGAGGCGAGGAGAGGGATGGAAGCAAGACTGTTACATATGCACACACACTCTACCCACACACTCACACATACTTACACTGACACCCCAACAAACACATACTACATACGCCCACACACACATAACATGCACACATATGCATACTGACGCAACACACACACACACACTCAAACACACACACCACATACGTTGATGCTACTGTCATATCTATCCTGTTGTCTAGTCACTTTACCCCTACTATATGTACATTACCTCATACCCCTGCATATCGACTCGGTACTGTTACTCCCTGTACGTTATTTTCTCATTATTTTTATTCGTTATTCACTGTGGATTTATTCCTCCTGTCACTATTTCACATTTTTTAAAATCTTTATCTTTAACTCTGCATTGTTGGAAAAGGACCCCTAAGTAAGCATTTAACTGTTAGTCTACACACCTGTTGTCTAAGAAGCATGTGACAAATAACATTTGATTTGACCTAGCCTAAGCTACTATAACATTTGAAAACTTGGTAACCTGTAAACTAGGGCCTACAGTATGCCAGTCTCTCTTTTTATCCGTTCATGATGTGACATGTCTTGACCTTGACAACCTCATTCCCCTTGACACATCATGTTTAGTAAATGTTTCAGTCATGTACTCCACTCCATACACAGATGCATTGCAAAATAGCTACATAGGTAAACGGTCCCTGGCGCTCGCGACCTGTAAGTCCCGCCCAGTTGCTATAACGACTCCCACATAGCTCCGCATGATTGGTAAATCAATGGTTCATTCCTGTCAGCTAATTTGTCGACCTCTTATGGTCCGCTCATACAGGCAGCCCAATTCTGATATTTTTTCCACTAATTGGTCATTTGACCAATCACATCAGATCTTGTCACAGCATCTCTGATCTGAATTATTAAAAGAGCAATTGTTGGAAAAAATATCAGATTTGGGCTGCCTGTCTAAACGCAGCCTACATTTCTTTGACGACGTGTTGATTTTGAAAGGCAGCTGATTTATCCAATCTCTGCACAATCTTTTTTCGTCTCGAATCTGCACTCTCCAATCAGTGAAAGAAGACAGACGCCCTATTTTGCTGCCCGACTGAAACGGGAAGATTGGTTGTGAACAATTTCAGGACAAAAATTTGCTGTGGAGAACACTGTTTGGCTGCAGGTTTGTTTCATATTAGTTTAGCTTTTAAAAAATGGTTCGCGGTTAGCGTTCAATTATTTGAGACAGTTTGTTAGTTAACGTTCTTTCTTTTACATTGTAATCGGTCAATGGGGAATTAAATAACTTTTAGGCTCATTTGGGGACACGCCTCGAACTGTATCGCTAATATTAGCTAGCTAGGAGTTGAGCCTAGTTACCTAACGTTAGATAAACGTTTGCGGTCCCCACCGTTGAGAAAAGGTCAGCTAACGTTAGCAAATTGATTGTGTTGCAAGCTAGCCTTATCAGTCATTCGTCAAACTAACGTTAAACTAAGGCCGTTTTTCATAACGATATACAGTAGTTATCTAACTACCATGAATTAGCTAGCTAGCGTGCTAACTTACCTAGCTACATACAGCGCATGTAACGTTACACAGATGGTTGTAGTTGTTGGCTAACTAGCCGCTTCCAGGTTAGCCAATGATCATAACTACCTGGCTAACGTTAACTAGCTAATATAGGTTCAGACAACTAACGTTACCTAAACAACTAAACCAATATAATAGCTGACTTCTTGACGAAAAAAGATGCGCTAGATAACGCGTTACTGTAAATGTTTGTGCAGAAGTAGCTAGCTAGCTAACTAGGCCTTTAGCGCTACCTAGTAATCTAGCTAATTTAGCTACCTAGTTAGGTAGCTAGCTAACGTTACTAGCTAGATTACTTCCAGTGTTGCCATGCATTAGGTCATTGACTGGCTAACTAACGTTAACTAGTTATCTAGATAAATAGCTTGTCTGCATCAGTACTAAGCGGACGTTAACTAACGTTAGCTTGCTAATGTCATCCCTTTCTTTGGTAACGCAACCCCTACCTTGTCTTGTACTGTAGGCAGACATAAATATTTTTAAATCGTATGAGGCAGAGCCTACTAACCTTACACCCACACCAGAAGTAGCTAGCTAGTTACAATGAGGTGGCAAACTACCCCCTACAAATTGTTGTGCGACTATGTTAATTTTAGACCCATTACATTTAGCTATGTCAAGCGGCAACCACTCTTATCAAGGGCTGTGATTTGGGAAGTATTCCGTTAAATTACAGTATAGTACGTACACTTGTGTATCCTGTGGCACAGCATTAATAGGAATTGAAGTAGCCCAAAGACCGGCAGATGGCGATATTGAGTTGTGCCATCTTAGCGTCCAAATACATTGAATGCAGCCGGCAATACATTAAATCCCACGTGGACCTGTTCGTACCTAAAATAGACTTGATTCAGGTTGCATAGGCTTCGATTTCCCCAACTTTATTTAATGGCGGGAAAATGCGTACTTTTCTTATGAAACACAATTTTCCAGCACCATGCTACAAGTGGCTAAATGCTAATACCGGATGTTGTGTAGCGCGTTCAGCCAATCAGGTTGAAACTCAGACCAGGGGTTCGGTTTCTTTTATGCATGGCTGTTGAGTTGGCAGCATCGCATTAGTGGAAACCAAAATTATTCTCAGGGCAGACCTGGTTGTAACTGTTCGAGTCGGGGACAAATTTAGCTAACCCTTTTCCTCACCTTAACCTAATTCTCCTAACCTGCTCCGTAAGTTTCCCTCACCTGCTACGAAAAGTAACTTCTGCTAGTCCAAACCGACAGACCCACCCAGAGAACAGTCTTGGTTTCCACTAATACGATACAGCACTGAGTTAGGTTAGGGGTGAAAAAACTGACTGCTGCAACTTGATTGGCTGTACGTGTTACATAACATCCAGGATTATAATTTAGCTAGGAGGAAATCAAAGCCTATGCAGTCTGAATGGAGAATCTTTTAGGTAAGAACTGGTCCACGAGGGATACGAATGTATTGCCGGCTGCATACAATGCATTTGGACGGTAAGATGACATGACTCATGCCATCTGCCAGCCTTTGGGATATCATTTAAGTTGTAAGCAGGGGCAAGGAAACAACAGGTTTGATTAGTGACAAGATTGGTGAGGCTTATAATGCGGTAACTCGTGAGTTTCCCTAGGTCTTGTCTGACACGTCCTCAAAAGGCATAGCCTTATTTCAATTGTTGCCTCCCCACAGCAGATCCACAGAGGAGCCTGTTCGCATTTCACCACTGGTGCAAGACAATGGAGACAGAAATCGAGCAGCAGGAAGAAGAGACCACGTTCAGCAACACTGACACTAACGGTAAGACATGAAGGATATTCTGTCAGTGCATTATCAGACATAATACAACACTGCTTTTCTCTAATAGTTGATATCAGTCTTTACAGAAGGGACTACCGGTATAGCTGCATGCTGGCACCATGTGTGCATGTCAGATGGCCATGGGTTTCTCTTGTCCAATTCACTGCTGTTTTGGGAGCAGTTCTGCCCAGTTTTGATCCAGGAAGGGGGGTGGTAGGGGCTGAACACATGCTGGGTGGATGCTGTTGCCTGGCTTCTGGCTGGAACATGTATAGGACACAGTGTAGCATCAGGCTAACGCTCCAGGTTTCTCCCTCCAGGTAAACGCCCTGCTGAGGACATGGACGAGGAGCAGTCCTTTAAGCGCTCTCGCAACACAGACGAGATGGTTGAGCTGCGGGTACTGCTGCAGAGCAAAGTAAGCCTGTCAACAGAAATGGGATTTTAGGCCTATTCCTTTTTAATCAGAAATTCTTAATTGTTTATGGCATTAAATCAGCAATGCTATTTCTTACATCTATGTCATGGATCAGTGGCCGTTGTTTTCCCTGGTTTTCGGTGTTTTGCTAATCACATCCCTCTTCCATGTCTCATATCATTCAGCAGACTGTCGGACCCATTATTCTGTCCCTAAGTAAACCCTCTTGTTCCCCCTCAGAATGCTGGAGCCGTTATCGGAAAGGGTGGCAAGAATATAAAAGCCTTACGCACAGACGTGAGTATACGGAGTTGGCATCATCAAATATTTTCCTTGACCAGGGGATTTGCTGTAAAGCTATAATTCTTTGGGCTTGGAATTGCTAGGGACCTCATGATATGATATCACGATACTTGGGTGCCAATACAATATTTATTGTGATTCTCATGATTTTCATGATTCTATGTGTATTGCGATTGGTCAGTCAGGGAAATAAAGTTGCTGGCTTACTATTTAAAAAGATGGAGAACAAGCTATAGGATGAAAAATACCAGAGTTTTGTCACAGCAGACTAGCGCTAGCTAACGCTACCTACAGTAGCAAATAAGTATGTACAATGCATTCATAAAGTATTCAGACCCCTTTACCTTTTCCACATTTTATGTTACAGCCTTATTCTAAAATGGATTAAATAGTTTTCCCCTCATCTACACATAATACCCCCATAATGACAAAGCAAAAACAGGTTTTTAGACCTTTTTGCAAATGTATAAAAATGAAAACTGAAATCACATTTATGTAAGTATTTAGACCCTTTACTCAGTACTTTTAGCAGCAATTACAGCCTCGAGCCTGTTGGGTATGACGCTACAAGCTTGGCACCCCTGTATTTGGGGAGTTTCTCCCATTCTTCTCTACAGATCCTCTCAAGCTCTGTCAGGTTGGATGGGGAGCGTCGCTGCACAGCTATTTTCAGGTCTCCAGAGATGTTCGATCAGGTTCAAGTCCGGACTCTGGCTGGGCCACTCAAGGACATTCAGAGACTCGTTCCGAAGCCACTCCTGCGTTGTCTTGGCTGTGTGCTTAGGGTCGTTGTCCAATTGGAAGGTGAACGTTCGCCCCTGTCTGAGCGCTCTGGAGCAGGTTTTCATCAAGGATCTCTCTGTACATGTCTCTGTTCATCTTTCCCTCGATCCTGACTAGTCTCCCAGTCCCTGCCGCTGAAAAAAAATCCCAACAGCATGATGCTGCCACCCCCATGCTTCACCGTAGGGATAGTGCCAGGTTTCCTCCAGATGTGACGCTTGGCATTCAGGCCAAAGAGTTCAATCTTGGATTCATCAGACCTGAGAATCTTGTTTCTCATGGTCTGAGCGTCTTTTGGCAAACTCGAAGCGGGCTGTCATGTGCCTTTTACTGAGGAGTGGCTTTTGTCTGGCCACTCTACCATAAAGGCCTGATTGGTGGAGTGCTGCAGAGATGGTTGTCCTTCTGGAAGGTTCTCCCATCTCAACAGAGGAGCTCTGTCAGTGATCATCGGGGTCTTGGTCTCCTCCCTGACCAAGGCCCTTCTCCCCCGATTGCTCAGTTTGTCTACGGACAATTCCTTCGACCTCATGGCTTGGTTTTTACTCTGACATGCACTGTCAACTGTGGGACCTTTATAAAGACAGGTGTGTGCCTTTCCAAATCATGTCCAATCAATTACATTTACCACAGGTGGACTCCAAGTTGTAGAAACATCTCAAGGATGATCAATGGAAACAGGATGCACCTGAGCTCAATTTCGAGTGTCATAGCAAAGGGTCTGAATACTTATGTAATTAAGATTTGTTTTATTTTTAATCCATTTGCAAACATTTCTAAACCTGTTTTTGCATTGTCATTATGGGGTATTGTGTGTAGATTGAGGAAAACATATTTAATCAATTTTAGAATAAGGCTGTAACGTAACAATGTGGAAAAAGTCAAAGGGTTTGAATACTTTACGAATGCACTGTATGTGTCTAGATATATCGTCCAAAAATATAGCGATATGTAACTTTTTTCTTTTTCTTTCTCCCCATCACTAATAATTGTCCTTGTAAACCCAACATTTTCCTAGACATTATGGTATCCAACAACCCAATTCCTAATGACAACCCTAACAAGCACTATTAAACAAACGTGATCCCTGTATTAAATGGTTTTCCTCTAATATAGGTAATCTCCCATGTATAGACTCTGACTGTTATTGTTTGACTTGATTGGGCAAATGGTGCATGTCTGAACACTTGGAGAGACAACTGCATTTTTTTTTTTGTTATATACAGTGGTCAGATTATCGCTTTCCCAAATGACACATCTATAGGTTGGCTCATGTGGACAGACATGGTTTGGCTTGATTGAACTAGATTTGGGGTCGAGGGTGGGTGGGGCATTCTCATGGTTCAGATAAAAGGAAACCTTTCTCTCTACTGAACTCTGAACTTGATTTCTAATGCCCCTTACAGCCCTGAAACTATACCGGACTGTGGCGATGTCCCTTCAACAGGTGTCTCAAAGCCTGAGCGGACCTATAGTCTGTTTCAACCTCTAGCCATGCAGTCCATTTAGCTAATAGTGTGTTTGTTAGCGCGGTCTCAGTCTAGCCGCCGTTGTTCTTGTGCACTTACTATATAATATATTATTTTAAAGCAGTATAGTGATGGAGTATAGCGTGTATTCAATTAAAATGTATTCCTTCTCCCCCTCTTCCCTCTCCTTTACTTTGTTATTTTTGGCCACCTTCCTCCGTTGCCCATGTACTGGATCGACATGCCCCTCCTGCGTTGCCCACCTTGACGTTGGCCCAACCTCCGCCCCTGAACGCCCGCCCACCTGACACCCCGGTTGGCCCCGCCCCGCCCCGCCGCCCGCCCACAAACGTGCCCCTCCCTAAACGGGCACCTTACTTGACATCATGTGATTGAATGCCCTTGCCCAATGCCAACCTCCACGGCCAATGCAGTACAATGCCAGTGTATCTGTCCCTGACAGCAGTGGCCCAGAGCGGTATGTCCCACCAGTTATTGCCTGATTAGAACAGAGAAACGTGTCTTTGATAACCTGCCTTCTGTTTCATTTTAACATTTTTTACATATAGAACCCCTCCCCCTCCCCTTTTATCAGGAGACGTGTATTGTTCCATTGAATTTTTCTGTCTTCTCCCCTCTCTCCCTCACATTTAGGTATTTCCATTTAATTTGGACCTTTTTTGTCACTATAAATGAAGTAATTTGTCCTGTACAGAGGGAGAAAAATAAAAAATCCTCCACTTTCAGTAGTTCATATTGAAGGGGAGGAGACCAGCTGTTGGATGTTTCCTTGCTGTGATATTTTTAGTCGTGAACTGTGTAAAGGAAAGCCAATGATATTTCTCGCTCTGTCCTTCTGGCCCACCTTGCTCCCCCCTCCCCCCCTGCGCCCCTCCCCCACCCCACTGTTCTCAACATCACTGTTCATGATCTGAGCGCTCAAGCTCCGCCCACTCTGTCACTCATCACTGTCGTCTCTTTTTTTTTTAATCCTTGTGCTGCATCTCCCCCTGTTTGGTTTCTCTCAGGCACCCCATCAGTCCAGACTGCCTGCCAAACCTCTCATTCCCCCCTCGCTCCTGTCCGCCACCTAGTGGTTACCACTCGCATCCCCCCCCCCCCACCCCCCTGCTTTCTTTATTTGTTTCTTTCTACCCCCGACCCCCAAACCCCTGTCACTATGAGAAGGTGTGCCGGTGGCACGATTGTGATGGCGAGTTTATTTATCTTTTTTAATTGCTGCTGGTGATGGTTAAAAGAAGTCTTCTCTCTCCCCTCTGACTGTGGCCAGCCTTGTGCCTCACATTGTAATCTAAAGCCCTTCCAAACCTGCCCCATTCCAATCTTTCTGTCTTTCTTTGTTGAATGTGAGATAAGCGAGTGCATGTCAAGTTGCTCGTATTTCAGTCCAGTGTTGGGAAAGCCAAAAGATGTACAGTATACAGCAGTCCTCTTCTTCCTTTGCTTTGTTTTTTAACTCTTTGTGTGTACTTCACGTCAGGGTTAGTCTTAAAGTACGTTATTTTATTTTTTTCTGTCCTCCCTCTGTTTTGCCTCGTTACCTTTGGCCACATGCCATTTCCTACCAGGATCCTGAGTGTGAGTGCAGATATTGACACTATCGGAGAGATTCTGCTGAAGATCATCCCTACTCTAGAAGAGGTGAGTCCCCCGCGGCCTCTATAGATATACAAGTACATGTGTAGGTTTGTATTTTTCCAGATCCTCAGTCGAGAGTTAAAGGCCGTATTTGACCTGACTGATCTGTACCTGTTTTTTTTTTTTTTTTCCTAGTACCAGCATTATAACGGGATTGATTTTGACTGCGAGCTGCGTTTGCTGATCCATCAGAGTTTGGCCGGGGGCATCATTGGGGTGAAAGGTGCCAAGATAAAGGAGTTAAGAGAGGTAAGATGGGATCCGGTTGTCTGTCATGTGTACGCCACTGGTTTCAAAAAGCTGACTTGACTCAGTCCATACTCATGTTTGAAGATAAGCTGAAATACAGAGTGCATGTGCTTGATCTGTCCTTAATAGTTGTCTTTGTTGCCCACTTGTCCTTAGATGGCTATGGGGAGTGTATTGAAGATATGATTTAATGCTCAAAGCTGAAGAAGGGTCTAACCCATTTTGAACATTTGGCATTGTGCGGAGTCTTCCTGTGTTGTGGGTGTATTTCATGCTGAGCTTCCTCTGTCTCCACCAGAACACCCAGACCACCATCAAGCTGTTCCAGGAGTGCTGTCCTCAGTCCACTGACCGTGTGGTTCTGGTTGGAGGGAAGCCAGACCGTGTTGTTGAATGCATCAAAGTTATCCTGGACTTGGTATCTGAGGTGGGTGAGAGTTCAGTTCTGAGCCGGTGACCACGACACACTTCCCCATCACCAGTGTCTAAACATGGAAACTCCCTGAAAGTCAGTCACTTAAACTAGAATTGTACCCATTTAACAGCAGACACTGGTTTTTTTGTTTTACATATTCCATTTACAACAGTTGTGGACATTAGTCATTTCAGAGCTACATTTCTTCACAGGGCTACATGTATCATAGTATTATCCATCTTTCTGTAGGCTCCTATCAAAGGGCGCGCCCAGCCCTATGACCCCAACTTCTACGACGAGACGTACGACTACGGCGGCTTCACCATGATTTACGAGGAGCGGGGCCGGCGGCCCATGGGAGGCTTCCCCATGCGGGGCAGGGGGGGCTTTGAGCGCATGCCCCCCGGCCGCGGGGGCCGACCTATGCCCCCCTCCAGGCGGGACTATGACGACATAAGTCCTCGTCGGGGACCGCCCCCTCCCCTGCCAGGCAGAGGGCGTGGAGGGAGCCGGGCTCGTAACCTGCCCCTCCCCCCACCACCACCCCCAAGAGGAGGGTAAGGAGCTTTCCTTCCTTTTTGTTCTTTCATTGACTTGTTTGTTTATGGCTACCTCTTTTATCACATTCAGTCACTCAGTGATTTGTAAAAAAAAAATCAAACCGTGTACCTTCCCTGTGCCGACGTGACACAACTTCCCCACTACTATTAGCCATATACATAATCTCAGGGATTTCACCTATGTTAACGCGATCATATGGACCCAAGTCATACTGTTAGACTAATCCTTAAAGTAATCTTTTATGACAGTTCCACTGAGTCATGTTGACCATGTTGTGTGTTTGCAGAGGGGACCGGTTCTCCCACCAGAGTTATCACGGCAACATGGACGACAGACCAAAGTAAGTAATTTGTATAAAAGGTAGCACCTGCAGAGTGGTTAGGGTGAAACTTCTCCAAATCAGCATAGTCATTTGGAGAATTGATCTCTCGGCTGTGGAGTTGAAAATCTTGGGTTTACTCTTCTGTTGATTTAATGGTCGTCAGTACGGTTTTAACCGTGGCACAGTAGTTATTTTGTCAACATGACCTCTTATCCTATAAGTAGATGACTATATGAACACTAAGTCTGTATCGGTGTCCACTTATCAATACTGATTCCAAAACAAGTTGTTTATGGTCTGTTGAAGCGGTGTGGCTCTTCACACTCTCGGGTGGCTAAACGACAAGCCAAGAAGGACTTGTCACACTTGTGTTGTATAGACTTGTCAGCCCATTGGTTTGGGGCACACACTATCTGTCCACCAAAGGTGGTAAACTGAACCCTCCATCTCATGCCATGTTAACCCTGACAACCTCCCCTCTTATCTAAGCAGTGACAGGAGAGGAAGACCAGGAGACCGCTACAACAGCATGGTGAGTGACCTCAGCATTTATGTGTTTTAGATAAGGGTTTAGCATGGTAGCGCGAGTTAGTCTGTCTATTGCCTGTTATAATAGTAGGCAAGTCGACAGTTTGGATTGTTATAATTACTGTACTTGTGGAAATGGATTGGTATTGTTTTCCTGTTCTAGTGAAAGCACGGTGGTTTGGACACTGGCGCTGCTCAGAACTGAGCGAGCGCACTAGTTAGGCCTCTTGTTGCCTGGCAACAGTTGTCTCCTTGGTTACCAAGGAGCAGCGGAATACATAGTCTGGAGCCACTAAACTAACACATGAACTTGAGGCGAAACAAAGCGAATTCCGGACAGGGTTGTACCAATGTACATAGTCAAAAATAAAAAGGGCAGCTCAGATTCATATGAAGAAATGATGGTGCTCAATGTTAACTGTAAACCAGTATTGACTTGATGTAGGTTTCAGTGTTGTAATACGTTTCTCATTTTGTCTTTCTCGCTTCCCCATGTCCTGCTGAATACAGAGTGGTGGATATGGTGGTGAGTCTCCACAGTTTCACAGTTACTTTTGGTCATGGTAGTCTCTACACTGTTTGAATGTCTCTTAGGTCGGGGTAAAGACCTTTCTGTCCAGTAAGCACCACCAGCTCTCCCCCTGTCCTTTGTCACCCTGTTGGTCTATGTAGTCTGTCAGCCACAATGTGACGTATTGTTGTTCTTTTCCTCCCTTCATCTTTTCGAAGATAACAATTCCTCGTGGGAGCCCTTTCAGTCTGGTGAGTGCAAATGGATCACATTTGTATCATGTCTCATTTTGTTGCTTCTGTATTTTGTTTTTGTCGTTTTTATAAAGGGATGACTTTCCCCACAACCGAGGATAAATTCTAAATGATATCTCTTGGTCTCTCCAGGTGGCCGAGGGTCATACAGTGACATCGGGGGTCCCGTCATCACAACACAAGTAACCATCCCCAAAGATGTGAGTAAAGGATTAAATAGCAGTCCCAAAACAGAGTTGAGATTTCTGATTGATCAGAAAGTTCCCACATCAGCATCTATTCATACGTCATTGAAATTGCCCTACTCCCCCAAAACCATGTGCCCCCTTTACCTGGTTGTCATTGTGCCGATCACATTATTGGGGAAAAGTAACCCTGGCTCCTCACTTGTCGTAGCTGGCCGGCTCCATCATCGGGAAGGGCGGCCAGCGGATCAAGCAGATCCGTCACGAGTCGGGAGCGTCCATCAAGATTGACGAGCCACTAGAGGGCTCCGAGGACCGCATCATCACCATCAATGGAACACAGGACCAGATTCAGAACGCCCAGTATCTACTGCAGAACAGGCACGTGCTAGCACCCTTTCCTCTTCTCCGGTGAAAGCAGTATGGTGGAAACCTATTCAACCCGTCACCTATCAGTGGTAATCAAGGAAAAAAAGAGTCTTGAAATGAATGACTAACTGAAATGAAATTTAACATAATGGAGTTCTAGAAATGATTCCTGGGGTTCCTTTATTCACTTTTCCACCGTGTTTTGTGTTACAGTGTGAAGCAGTACTCTGGTCGGTTCTTCTAAACAGGGAAGAGGAGTGAAGCCAAACCCCTGCCATGCCCATTCTCTCCCTCAGAGCCAACATTCCTCTGCTATGGGTAGATGTGCTCTCCCCCGGTCATCTAACACACTATCTTTTAATTAGACGAAGTTAGGAAATTCTCTCAAAGCTGTCGGATGAGTCCCTGCTATTTTTTGCGCTGCTTGTTTTTTGTTTTTCTTCTGGATTCTTGTGCTGTTCTGTACTTGGAGTAAACTCATGTGTTCACGCTCCGCCTCCCCTGAGCCACTCCTCCCCCAGTCAGTACAGCATGCAGAATGTAATCTTGTTTTGTAAGGAACATTTTATGATTAAAACAAATAAATGTAGGTTATTTTTGCTTAATTGTTTTTTCACTGAAAGAGTAGGTGCTGTATAAAAATGTAAATATACAGTAATCATTTCATAGGATGAATAAGTGCTAAGATATTTTTATTTTGTTGGGAGACTGAAGGGGCCAAAAGGAAAAGTACTGTTGATTTGAATTTAGTTTTCTACCTGATTTTCAGATGTTTATCAAGCCACTCATAGGGATGGACATGATGTAACTCATGCGTACATAATAATTGACATTTGGATCCATTTAGACTTGCTTTCGTGTCAGTTTTGTAAGCATTTGTTACATTTTAGATGGGTTCTTTGTAAGGGGAATGTAGCCTTTCTGTCCATATGAGTGGCATGTTCACTCTACCCCTGTCTGTGGTGTCTTTGTAGTATCTGCTGAAAGTCAGAGTAATAAAATCTGTGCCACATTTTACTAAACGTGTGGTGGGTGGGGCCAGGCATTTTCTATGACAAGTAGGCCTAACGCATCATAATTAAAAATGTATTCTTTTTGCGGCGTTTACTTGCTAGTCGAAACTTGGACATTTCTGACTTACTGATTTGTTGAACGCGGCACGTGTATAACTACAACCAGTTAGCAAGTCTGACATTTCCTAGTTCCAACTACCACTTCAACACGGCATAAGATTAATGTGCAACAATGTGACATCAAATTTAAATTCTGAATGGTCAATAACATGTAGCCTAATGATACATTTAAGATTGGTAAAATTAGCCCATAGGCCTATTCTTTAATCCAAGATATGTCGGTGTTTATGTAGGTAGTGGATTGCCCACCTAGGTTTCCATACAATTGGCGACAGATTTTCATGCAAATATTCTAAGAACCGCAGAAAAATACATATGTCCATCAAATTCACCTGTTGCGGATAAAATGGCTGTGCGTGATGACATGGTGCACATAACGTTTTGCCCATGTACAAAATAAAGAATACAAGTTAAATTGGTTTCCATATCATGTTCAACTCTACTGATGGTTTGCTTTATAGGCCTATTGCGAATGTGCACACTTTGGTCTTCGTCACATGCGCTTTAGTCAACAGCTAGCAAATACGGTGCGTGTAGGATAGCCTACATGAGATTATATATATTAAAAAGGCAGCCAAGCATCGATCATGTCTCCAGAATAAGACCGATATTTATTGGACAGTAGCCTCGATCACGGCGTGCACTTTCACCACCTTGTGAAGCTCATAATTTATTTCAGCTGTAGCCTAAACTTTTTTTCCCCCGAGTCGTAGTGGGAGGACCACACAACATATCATCGCATGACTCCAAGTTTACTTCGATATGATTCTTATATCAATATTTGCGCATAAAGCAATGGCATTTCCATCGCCATTTCTCGTATAATTAATTTTTACCGACAGTCTAGCGTGTTTTGTATACATTTGGACAGTTTACCGACAACAGTTGCTGTTATCAGGCCTGTCGTCAAATGTTTTATCCGACATATACTTTACTCTCGTAAAATTATTTGATGGAAACCTGGTTATAGTAACATGCTGGAGCAACATACCCTCATGTGCCTTTCCCATCTAAACACCCTCCCTCTCCTAATTTCACATGGATCGGGTATTGAGTGTAGTTACGTTATGCCAGCACAACCCGGCAGCTGCCAGCAATAATGGCTAGAATTGTGTCAAAATAAGAGTCCTCTACTGCGAGAGACTGTCCGACCCACCCCAAGATGATTACGATGTGGAAAAATGCAAATAAAGACTAGGATGAGTGATGAGGTTGAAGAAGAATGAAGAGGGTGGATGAAGAAAAATGTTTTACATGTACTTTTCTGTGTGGAGCACTTTTATTTGGAAGGCTCTTGCCTTTTTGCTGATAGGTTCGCATAGGTTCCAGAGTAGCCTGTATTCTGTACATAATGAAATTACAAGATTGGACAAGCGAAGGTGAGAATAGAAAAGATGGAGTGAAGTTAAGCAAATACTCTTTTCAATGAAGACAAATTCAAACGGACCATATTGTGGCATGGGATTCTTTTTTGATATTCCTGTGCAATAATGGAATTTAGTTTTTTATAAATTTGTGGCGATATGGAGTAAAAGTCCGCCATATTCACTCACCACGCCCGGAGTTCAACAATTGGAGGTAAAGATTTGTTTAGCTGTTTACATGTTGGTATTTAATTATTCATTTTCCCACAGATTGACTTTTACCCAATTTGGCTGCTACTGCATTTATTTGAAGGACCGCAGTTTATAGAAAAAGAAAACAACGTGGTCTCTTTCTGCCAAAGGTTCTATCTGTTTCTTGGAATTGCATTTGCGTTATTATTGTGCTTGGCTTTTACTGCCTAGTCTCCAGGACGTCTGCATGGCACTGTACTGAAAATTCAGGCTGAGTTGAGGGAAGACAAGTATTTTTAGAAATATAAATATGTCTTTAAAAATTACATCGAAGTCTATGTGCTTTGTTTAATTTTTTCTTTCACTTTGTGAATATAGGCCTACCTCCTCGACCCAAAAGTAGCCTAAGTGTTTTCAAGGGAGTCATGAATCTGAACTCCGTAGGGGCCTGTTGCCTCAGCGAAGAGGGAAAGGAGGCTCGGCGGATCAACGACGAGATCGAAAGGCAGCTTCGCCGGGACAAGAAAGACTCGCACAGCGAGTTCAAGCTGTTGCTTCTCGGTAAACGAAGTTCTGAATCGCACTCAAAGCACTGATATGACATTGTGTCATTAGTATAAACATTGTTTCATTGTATGACTGTATTATTGTTGGCTATCTGTTATTTCAATGTACATGCCTATAATAAACATGGCAATTTATATTCAAATTAGATATTGCCAAGAGAATAATGTTTATTGTTGTGCATTGTCTTTAGTACTCTTTGATGTTTATATAACTTAAGTTCACACATCTAGCTCACAACTGTCCCCTTGCTGGGAGTAAAATAAATTATAACTCAATGAAATAATGTTGACAGCAAACAGGCCCACGTAGTTTGTTAGGCGACTAAGGAAGTAGTTATTGCTACAATAAACATTAGGTTGTTTAATTGCAGAGGGGGACACATTTTTTAGAAATCATTCAATCTTGCCATGGATCTCCACCCATTTAGATTCGTAGATCAGAAATCTATTCCAGTGACCTACTGTATATACAATGCACACACAGTAAGTAGCCAACCTCCTGACACTATTGTATACACATTCCATGGCCAACACAGTCCTTCTCTTCAGTAGCAGGTGACAAATTGTATTTCAATCAAAATGTTTGGGTTACTCAGCAATAGTTAAATCTAAATTTCACTTGTTCATGAAATTGACAATATAAAGATGACACTGTATAAGCTTAAAATGTGCCTTACCTCAGGCTACTGTGTGGGTTAGTGAGAAGAGAGCCACTGTACACATTAATGGTGTTTAAAAGTAGGGATTTAAAAGTGAAACTGAGTTAATCGCTGAGCTTTTTTCTCCCCAGGGACTGGTGAGAGTGGGAAGAGCACCTTCATAAAGCAGATGAGGATCATCCATGGGACGGGATACTCAGAGGATGACAAGCGAGGCTTCACCAAGCTGGTGTACCAGAACATCTTCACTGCCCTGCAGACCATGATCCATGCTATGGAGACCCTACAGATCCCCTACAAGTGTGAAGGCAACCAGGTAACCCTTTTGTTGTTTAATCTATACCGACTTTTCCCGTTTATTGCCAACATTTGGTGTTGGCGCACACAAATCTGTTGGTGAGGAGTTTTTGCACCATAATCCATTTTATGGACCTGTGTTTTTTCAGACCTTGACACCATGTAACCTCACCTGGAAAAACTATGGGCATTAGTCATAGCCTTTAGTCTAGAGCAGGGATATTCATCCTCGGGTCCGCAGACCACTAGGTGTCCGCGGAGGTACTGCATGAGGTCCCAAAAATAAAAACATAAAAAAGTGGATTCCCCCCAATGTTTTTATGAATATCGCTAGCAATCACATAATAAACACATTTTGAATTACATACCTACAGTATAAAATAGGAGACTATCTTATTTCTAATGATGTCAACTTTATTTCTCAACTCCTAATATTGAGCAAATTACACTCATTGGAGCTAATTACACTCACTAGAGTACCTGACATAGGCTTTGAAAAAGCACCCGTGAGTACCAATCGCTGCAAGTGCCGCTGGTTGCTGGTAAGCTTTCTTGACTTGGACATACATTTTTGTCAACACATGGCTTAACTTTGTTTAACCAGCTTAACAGCTGCTATTAGTGAAAATATGTTTGGAGTTACCTTTCTAGCTAATAGGCTAGGGTTTCCCAACTGGCGGCCCGCAGGAGGTTTTATTTGCACCTGCAAGTTTTCTGAGCAAATAAAAAATTTATTTTATTTTATTTTGTATTGTCTTTGTTGAAATTAAACCACTATAAAAACACCAGGAAATCTGCTTTAAGTTATTTTAATTTTGGAAATCTGTTCCCAAGTATTCCCATGCATAATAGAGATGTGATCAAATACAAATGTAAGCAAGGTTTGAAATGATTATGTTTTAGTCAAATATGATCTGTTTGGGCTTCTTGCGGTCAATTTGCAGTCTACAAATTATTTGTAATTATGTTCCGGACCCCCGACCATCCACAAAAAAAACAATCGGTCCGCGGCTGAATCTTGTTGATGAGCGCTGTAATAGGCTATGTTAGAGTTTACACTTCCTCTTCCAATTATAATGTGGGGAGGTCAAAATAAGGAAAACTATCTACCAAGTCTATTAATTAAAAAATGTTGATTACTTCTCCTTGCCATTATCATTCACCTTATGATAAGAAAATACATTAAACATATTTCTAGCGTATGATGGAGGTCCCTGGGCCGCCAGTTTGGCTGGGTGGGGGTGCCTGGGCAAGAAAAGGTTGAAGACTCCTCTAGAGGCTTTCCTGGCAGGTCACATTGTCAGAAAAAAATCCTGACCCTAGCTGTAATGGCTAGGCCCATGTTTGTACAGACCTTTTATTTGTTTCTAAAGTCTCTGAGGCTCAGTGAGGCTTGTAGTAAGGGGTTAGGTGATGCCATTATGATATCTGTAACTTTGTTTACTTCCTGCCTAGCTGATGATGTCATTAGTTACTGAGCAGGATGACAGACAAGGTCTTGTAAAAGGTACATGTGGTTGACTGTTGGCACACACATAAAGTAGGGGAACTCCTGGAACAAATATGCCACGAGAGAGACAAATATTCTTTGCTGACCTTTCTATCCCGCAAAACCTCCATATAATAATCATACAAATTCACTGCCTCACACCTATGTGCTGCCTGCCTCACACTAACACCAATTTAAATTCTAGATAGGTCTGAGGCCAAGCTAACACAAACCCTTGCCTGCCATTTACAAGAATGTGATCACTCAGACAAATGCCTCTCTAGGTCTCTCAAGTAATGATCTCTTTCCCCTTCTCTTTGTCTTTCTCTCTCTACTTTTTCAGGGTCATGCAAATATTGTCATTGAAGTGGACGTGGAGAAGATCACAATGTTTACAAATCCGTACATTGACGCCATTAAGAGTCTATGGAATGACCCAGGGATCCAGGAATGCTACGATCGGAAGAGGGAATACCAGCTCTCAGACTCTGCCAAATAGTGAGTAAAGCAGTCACCAATACCAGCCTCCTAGTCTAGATTGCCAAATAGTGAGTAGACACAGAGACCAGTAAATAACTACTCCCTAACTCTTGCCAAATAGTTTCCACTGTGTCCAATACCAGTTCTGTTAAGAAACATCTCATTCTCATACATAAAAGGCTGTGCAAATTTAGGTAAGCAATGAAGCGTTCCAATGAACAGATTGCTTCCTATTGTGATGCTCGGGTGAAAGATTACTTATCTTATGACCTCTGTGTTTTTCTGAGAAGTGATGTAATGAGTAACAGAACTGTAAACAGAATAATAATGATATTAACCCCATCCCTCTCATGCCCTTTCAGCTACCTGAATTCACTGGACCGTATAGCTGAGTCATCTTATGTGCCGACCCAGCAGGACGTGCTCAGGGTCCGGGTCCCCACCACAGGCATCATTGAGTACCCCTTTGACCTCCAGAGTGTGGTCTTCAGGTAAACATCCATATAGCCTACTACTGTCTCCCTGTCTGGTGAACACAAGTAATCAAGATGATCCTAGAAGAGGAACTGGTATCAGAGGCACCATTTTGACTTACTCAAATACAAATTGACGTTGTTCCATGCTTTTCAATTCAGTACTTAGTAATGACAATGTAATAACTCATCATAACCCATTAGAAAAATAGTATACTCTGTATTCTCTATACCTGCCTGTTAAGCGTTGCCTCTAAACCTCATCGTGCTGCTGTTCTCAGAATGGTGGATGTGGGTGGCCAGAGGTCCGAGAGGCGGAAATGGATACACTGCTTTGAGAATGTCACCTCCATCATGTTCCTGGTGGCTCTCAGTGAATATGACCAGGTCCTGGTAGAGTCTGAGAATGAGGTGAGTTTGGCCATTGCGGTTTCAACAGTCCAAAGCATTATGGTGCTCTTAAGAGGACATTGCATCATTCCACGGCAGCCATGTTGGAGCCTCCCGGACAATGCTGACCAATGACAGTCCGCTTAATATTGACAATTTTAAACTGTGCTAATCAACTGTACTGCTTGAACTCATGAATGGGTAGATGGAATGCTTAGAGGCAGAACCATGACATCTTACTAGAAAGTTGGCCAAACTCTCTGCCTCTTGCTATCTCTCTATGACTGGCTCTGGATGGAGGTAAACTGCCTCTTCCATCAATCCTATTAGCCAATGTTCAATCATGTGAAAACAAATTGGACGACCTAAGATTAAGGTTATCCTACCAACGGGACATTAAAAACGGTAATATCTTATGTTTCACCGAGTCATGGCTGAACGATGACATGGATAACATACAGCTGGCGGGATATACGCTACATCGGCAGGATAGAACGGCTGACCCTGGTAAGACAAGGGGTGGCGGTCTGTGTATATTTGTAAACAACAGCTGGTGCATAAAATCTAATACTGAGGAAGTCTCGAGGTTTTGCTCGCCGGAGGTAGAGTATCTCATGATAAGCTGTAGACCACACTATTTACTGAGAGAGTTTTCATCTATAATTTTTGTAGCTGTCTATTTACCACCGCAAACCGTTGCTGGCACTAAGATTGCACTGAATGAGCTGTATAAGGCCATAAGTAAACAGGAAAACGCTCATCCAGAGGCAGCGCTCCTAGTGGCCGGGGACTTTAATGCAGGGAAACTTAAATCCGTTCTACCTAATTTCTACCATGTTAAATGTGCAACCAGAGGAAAAAAAACTCTAGACCACCTTTACTCCACACACAGAGACGCGTACAAAGCTCTCCCTCGCCCTCCATTTGGCAAATCTGACCATAACTCTATCCTCCTGATTCCTGCTTATAAGCAAAAACTAAAGCAGGAAGCACCAGTGACTCTGTTAATAAAAAAGTGGTCAGATGACGCAGATGCTAAGCTACAGGACTGTTTTGCTAGCACAGACTGGAATATGTTCCGGGATTCTTCCGATAGCATTGAGGAGTACACCACATCAGTCACTGGCTTCATCAATAAGTGCATCGATGACGTCGTCCCCATAGTGACCGTACGTACCCCAACCAGAAGCAGACAGGCACATCCGTACTGAGCTAAAGGGTAGAGCTGCCGCTTTCAAGGAGCAGGACTCTAACCCGGACACTTATAAGAAATCCCGCTATGCCCTCCGACGAACCATCAAACAGGCAAAGAGTCAATACAGGACTAAGATTGAATCGTACTACACCGGCTTTGATGCTCGTCGGATGTGGCAGGGCTTGAAAACTATTACAGACTACAAAGGGAAGCACAGCTGCGAGCTGACCAGTGACACAAGCCTACCAGACGAGCTAAATCACTTCTATGCTCGCTTCGAGGCAAGCAACACTGAAGCATGCATGAGAGCATCAGCTGTTCCGGATGACTATGTGATCACGCTCTCCATAGCCGATGTGAGTAAGACTTTTAAGCAGGTCAACATTTACAAGGCCGCAGGGCCAGACGGATTACCAGGACGTGTACTCCGAGCATGCGCTGACCAACTGGCAAGGGTCTTCACTGACATTTTCACATGTCCCTGACTGAGTCTGTAATACCAACATGTTTCAAGCAGACCACCATAGTCCCTGTGCCCAAGGACACTAAGATAACCTGCCTAAATGACTACCGACCCGTAGCACTCACGTCTGTAGCCATGAAGTGCTTTGAAAGGCTGGCTCACATCAACACCATTATCCCAGAAACCCTAGACCCACTCAAATTTGCATACCGCCCCAACAGATCCACAGATGATGCAATCTCTCTTGCACTCCACACTGCCCTTTCCCACCTGGAAAAGAGGAACACCTACGTGAGAATGCTATTCATTGACTACAGCTCAGCGTTCAACACCATAGTGCCCTAAAAGCTCATCACTAAGCTAAGGACCCTAGGACTAAACACCTCCCTCTGCAACTGGATCCTGGACTTCCTGACGGGCCGCCCCCAGGTGGAAAGGGTAGGTAACAACAAATCTGCCACGCTGATCCTCAACACGGGGGCCCCTCAGGGGTGCGTGCTCAGTCCCCTCCTGTACTCCCTCTTCACCCATGAAATGCATGGCCAGGCACGACTCCAACACCATCATTAAGTTTGCCGACGACACAACAGTGGTAGGCCTGATCACTGACAACGATGAGACAGCCTATAGGAAGGAGGTCAGAGACCTGGCCGTGTGGTGCCAGGATATCCACCTCTCCCTCAGCTTGATCAAGACAAAGGAGATGATTGTGGACTACAGGAAAAAAAAGAGGACTGAGCATGCCCCCATTCTCATCGACGGGGCTGTAGTGGAACAGGTTGAGAGCTTCAAGTTCCTTGCTGTCCACATCACCAACAAACTATCATGGTCCAAACACACCAAGACAGTCGTGAAGAGGGCACGACAAAGCCTATTCCCCCTCAGGAGACGGAAAAGATTTGGTATGGGTCCTCAGATCCTCAAAACGTTATACAGCTGCACCATCGAGAGCATCCTGACTGGTTGCATCACCGTCTTGTATGGCAACTGCTCTGCCTCCGACCGCAAGGCACTACAGAGGGTAGTGCGTACGGCCCAGTACATCACTGGGGCCAAGCTTCCTGCTATCCAGGACCTCTATACCAGGCGGTGTCAGAGGAAGGACCTAAAAATTGTCAAAGACTCCAGCCACCTGAGTCATAGACTGTTCTCTCTGCTACCGCACGGCAAGCGGTATCGGAGCGCCATGTCTTGGTCCCAAAGGCTTCTTAACAGCTTCTACCCCAAGCCATAAGACTCCTGAACAACTAATCATGGCAACCCGGACTATTTGCATTGCATTTTTTTATTCATTTATTTATTTAAAAAACTGCATTGTTGGTTAAGGGCTTGTAAGTAAGCATTTCACGGTAATGTCTACACCTGTTGTATTCGGCGCATGTGGCAAATAACATTTTATTTTATTTGATCTGTTATAGTGGAGGAAAGGATCCACCGAGAAAGATAATCAACCAGTCAGTCCGAACACAGAGGCACATTGTTCCAGCGCTAATGTGAATAAGCCCAAACCTGTTATGTGAAGATGACCCAGATTTCCCCCCCCTCTGACAACTCCTATAGTTGGCTAAATGCACATACAGATCTGGGACCAGGCTAGATGTTCTCTGATAAAAAAAATGGAGAATACCCTTCACACTGTTTGAAGGCTTCCAAGTTTGTTTTGTAACACCTGCTACTTGAACTGGGCTTTGACCAACTCAGGGTTTGTGCTCAGTGTTCACCTGCAGGGGGAGCCCTTCAGTCACTAATAATTATTGGAACACACTCAAAGCCTGGTTGTTGCACAGTATTTGCATCATGCACAATCACTGCAAAGTAATTGTCCACACTGACTGTGTAGAACAGTGGGTCCAACAACACCTTGATGGAATAAGAAAAAAATTAGTTCAAATACCAGTAGTCTCTTTAACATTGTGTGTGTTTATGATCTTTACACAGAATCGAATGGAGGAAAGCAAAGCATTGTTCAGGACAATAATAACCTACCCGTGGTTTAAAGATTCCTCAATCATACTATTCTTGAATAAGATTGACTTATTGCAGGAGAAAATCTTGTTCTCACATCTGGTGGATTACTTCCCTGAATATGATGGTAAGAACTCCTTCTTTTTATGGACCTATTGACAAAATGAATAGAGCCCTATTTGCATGGACCAGCTAAATGTGATCATAAGCTACCGATGCAAAATGGATTAGCATTCAGTTATCGTATTACTGATATAGTGTATAGATAAAAAATACCCTATATAAACCATATTAATAGCATACTCATAAATAAAGTATTGTATATACAATGTAGCCATCTAACACCATTTACAAGACCTTGCCCCTTATCGCCTATAATCGATCCTTGAAGGTGCCATTTGTAATGTCTTTGTCCCCTGTGGCCACAGATGGACATCACAAACACTTTCAAAGACCGTCCCCTTCAGTCCTGTTGGGCCAATACCTTGTTCCATTAACCGGAAATGAAACAATATTTAATATGTATCGCTTTAGACTGATATAACAATAAAAAAGCATCTGCCATGATTTCATGAATCATAACTAATCGTATCTCCTCCTCTCAGGACCCCAGCGGGACCCACAGGCAGGAAGAGAATTCATCTTGAAGATGTTTGTGGACCTGAATCCAGATAGCGATAAAGTCATCTATTCCCACTTCACCTGCGCCACCGACACGGAGAACATTCGCTTTGTCTTCGCCGCTGTGAAAGACTTCATCCTGCAGCTGAATCTGAAGGAGTACAACCTGGTTTAGACTCTAGCCGACTATAGTTACACAAACTCTTTAATGCAATCTGCTCCAACAGCTGCAGCCAGAGACCAAGGCCTGGAGCCATAGTACAAACTTCTTCACTTTGTCTGGTTGTCTTCCACTATGGTGAAACCCTACTGCCCACAATGGGAGTTGAAGACTGCAGCTACAGAGCATTTCCATAAATGGCTGGATTATTTCCAATGGATTTCAACTGCTCACCACTGCATTTTTGTTTTAAATAGGCATCTTTGATTTTGTTCACGAGGTGCATCATGATGATGAATAATACTGTGCCTTTTTGAGGAGAGATGATTATTGTGTACATTGAGAGTTATTAGGAACTCTTTGTAAACCATTCAAAACACATTATAACAGTGTAAACACACCTCAGATGAGAGTTTAAAAAAGTGCTTTGATGTGCCAGGTGTCTCTCTGAGGACTGGTGACCCACAACTCTCTTGTCAGAGAATGTCTGGTTGACATTTAGATAACTGCTAAGCAGCACGGCACCTTATATCCTTCAGTGGGTCACAGTCACAGTCTATACATTGTTTACGTATTTAAATGAGTAGTCATTCTCTGGGTCAGAGGATAGAAGAAACAGTCATAATCATCACATAGAACACGTAAACTATTATTTGCACAATTGACATATTTTGTTGTTTTTCTATTGGTGTATACAGTGTAAGTGTGGGTATGTGTTGCCAAATTAGTATTACCTCTATTGACTGAATACCCTCTACTGAAGGGTGAAATCTGAAGCTGTACCACCACATTTGAGCTAAAATGCGTTTGATTAACAACACTTTGCAGTTGTAATACTGTACATGTCAACTACCAGTGTTATAACATAACTATATTTGCCCCAACTAAACAGAGCATCATGATACTGTTCCTCATCCAATAAGGGAATGTTGCCAACTTAGACAAGGTCTATCGTTGATCCGTAACATTGCTTTTTGTCGGTCCTTTGTATTCTCAGTGGAGATGTACTGTATTGCTTTGGCACAGTTTCAGTTCAGGGACAACTTTGATTAGCATTATTGAGTCACTCTCTGGTTTCAAGATCATTTGTGAAAAGGGCTGAAAATGATTCCCAATATAGTATATATATACAGTACCAGTCAAAGGTTTGGACACACCTACTCATTCAAGGGTTTTTCTTTATTTTTACTATTATTCTACATTGTAGAATAATAGTGAAGACATCAAAACTATGAAATAACACATATGGAATAATGTAGTAACCAAAAAAGTGTTAAATAAATCAAAATATATTTTATATTTGAGATTCTTCTTTGCCTTGATGACAGCTTTGCACACTCTTGGCATTCTCTCAACCAGCTTCATGAGGAATGCTTTTCCAACAGTCTTGAAGGATTTCCCACATATGCTGAGCACTCGTTGGCTGCTTTTCCTTCACTCTGCGGTCCAACTCATCCCAAACCATCTCAATTGGGTTGAAGTTGGGGGATTGTGGAGGCCAGGTCATCTGATGCAGCACTCCATCACTCTCCTTGGTCAAATAGCCCGTACACAGCCTGGAGGTGTGTTTTGGGTCATTGTCCTGTTGAAAAACAAATGATAGTCCCACTAAGCGCAAACCAGATGGGATGGCGTATCGCTGCAGAATGCTGTGGTTGCCATGCTGGTTAAGTGTGCCTTGAATTCTAAATAAATCACTGACATTGTCACCAGCAAAGCACCCCCACACCATCACACCTCCTCTTCCATGCGTCACGGTGGCAACCACACATGCAGAGATCATCCGTTCACCTACTCTGCGTCTCAAAAAGACACGGCGTAGGAACCAAAAATCTCAAATTTGGACTCATCAGACCAAAGGACAGATTTCCACCGGTCTAATGTCCATTGCTCGTGTTTCTTGGACCAAACAAGTCTCTTCTTCTTATTGGTGTCCTTTATTAGTGGTTTCTTTGCAGCAATTCGACCACGAAGGCCTGATTCATGCAGTCTCCTCTGAACAGTTGATGTTGAGATGTGTCTATTACTTGAACTCTGTGAAGCATTTATTTGGGCTGCAATCTGAGGTGCAGTTAACTCTACTGAACTTATCCTCTGTAGTAGAGGTAACTCTGGGTCTTCCTTTCCTGTGGCGGTCCTCATGAGAGCCAGTTTCATCATAGCGCTTGATGGTTTTTGCGACTGCACTTGAAGAACCTTTCAAAGTTCTTGACATTTTCCGGATTGACTGACCTTCATGTCTTAAAGTAATGATGGACTGTTGTTTCTCTTTGCTTATTTGAGCTGTTCTTGCCATAATATTGACTTGGTCTTTTACCAAATAGGGCTATCTTCTGTATACCACCCCTACCTTGTCACAACAAAACTGATTGGCTCAAACGCATTAAGGAAAGAAATTCCACATTAACTTTTAACAAGGCACACCTGTTAACTGAAATGCATTCCAGGTGACTACCTCATGAAGCTGGTTGCGATGCCAAGAATGTGCAAAGATTTCATCAAGGCAAAGGGTGGCTACTTTGAAGAATCTCAAATATAAAATATATTTTCATTTGTTTAACACTTTTTTGGTTACTACATGATTCCATATGTGTTATTTCATAGTTTTGATGTCTTCACTATTATTCTACAATGTAGAAAATAGTAAAAATAAAGAAAAACCCTGGAATGAGTAGGTGTGTCCAAACTTTTGACTGGTACTGTATACATACCTTGCACTTTGTAAATACAAACTGGTACAGTGATTTCCTGTGTGTTCTTTAGTTTCAAGGTCCTGTAAAGTGAAAAGTGTTGTAATTGTTACCTGCAGAATGAGAACATTGGGTCCAATGACCTGCTTTGAACACAGGCATTCATTTCTTGCACTCATTTCTTGAATCATATGTACATATGTAATATGAGAGTACAAATAAACACTAGTCAGAAGGTTCTCTGCACTATTTAATTTGTGTCAATCTTTACCTAGCCTGTCGTTACTTGCCATTTTTAAAGTCTGTTGAAAATAAAGCATTATATTTCAATTGTTTGTCAAATTATTTTTTGAGCAATGTCCATGTTTTGAAATTGTGACGGAATAAATCATTCCAATTTAGGCAACATCTTTCTCTGCACTTTTTTCCACTACGGTGTATATTTGTGTGAAGATTACCGTAGAATCTATGGAATAGAGGGAACGCCATAGATGGTGTTGGAGGATTATGCTGCCACTCATTGTTTGTCATGGGTTTTAATGTCTGTCTGCCTTCTCTCCCAGCTCATCTGTGAGAGTTAATGCTCTCAAATCCTTTCAGTGATATCCATCTGGTCAAAGACAGCATTGCTGCAGGGAGGAATGTACTGCTACTGATTTAGAGAGCATATTTTCTGTCGTGGATACAATGTGGTGCACATTGACATGAGTGTAGCCAGGCCTATAGGATGTGTGTGAGTGTCAGCTTCATATTATTTGCACCAAGCAGACCAGGGTGGCTGCTATCATAGTAACACTTTCCTGTAGACTTAATACTCCATAGGGCTAGGCTACTCCTTTTATGATGTCCTTGTTTCATTGTTCAACTGGCAGGCACACACACGCCTATAAACCCAGTGTGTTCACAATACCAACAGATCAACCCAGCCTGTGTGGCACTGGTGAGAAGCCTTCCCTACTTGGTCAAATTTTTTTTTTTTAAATACAACAGAACTTTTGTGGGTGGGTTTAGTTTACACACTCCTCCAGGTTTCATTTGTTTACTAATCCAGATAGTATAGGCCTAATAGAGAACTTACCTGCGGCAACTTACCTCACCGCCTTTACCTGCACGGTAGGAATGCGACCCGGTCAGACCGCTCACCTCTTCATACAGGTAGAATGACTTCTGAATTTTGACAGGCCACCTGTTACGGGAGAGAGGACGTTCTCTCTCAGGGAGGTCGGTTGGAACAGAAATCATTTATCAATCTACCTCACCTGAAATACGGACAGCTATAACAGCACCAAGATGGGTGAATGCTGTATGTCGGTTGAAGACTCGGAGAGACATAAGATACACCAGGAGATTGAGAGACAGCTTCGCCGGGACAAGAAGGAATCTTACCGAGAGTTAAAGTTGTTGCTTTTAGGTGAGTCATGGCATATGCTATCATGGATAATTGGTCATTCAGCCTACAACTTTATGCGTGAGGTATGCCTATTCAACTAGGCTACTTCAAGTTGACCGAGTTTATGATATAAATAATTGTTATAGGAATAGCATAGCGTTTCCAACAATTATTTGGATCTTGCTAATGAAAATGTGTCGTTCCTGAAGTGGTATAGCCTACCATCCTCCTCTGTGCGATGCACTTTAGTGTAAACCATGCTATAGATCATACCGTTCAAGCCAACTCGGGACGGCTCAAGATATTTTGGGGCCCTGAGCGAGATTTGATTCTGGGTCCTACATACCATTTAATCAGTCAATAATAGCTAACTTGAAGACAAAACATTTATTTTGACTGGTAACCAGTTTATAATAGCAATAAGGCACCTCTGGGGTTTGTGGTATATGGCCAATATACCACGGCTAAGGGCTGTATCCAGGAACTCCGCGTTGCGTCGTGCAGAAGAACAGCCCATAGGCAGTGGTTTATTGGCCACCTTATTGCTTAAATATAGGCCTACTGTAAGGTAGCCTGCTCTATATTTGAAAGAAACAATGTAGCCTATAAATTGCCTTCTTTAGAAATTATACATTTAATTCTTTAGAAATGAGTTCAATATCTAGTAAATGTATCACCTCTATGTTACAGATACCGCTACCTTGACAGGACACGTTTTATGTCTCTCTGTTTCCATCATAGTTGTTCTCTGTAGAAGCCCTAGACAGCTGAATAGGTATGAGTCACTCTAAACCCCATTCTCCACATATTTGATAGAAACCTGTTGAACCAGTAAGTAATTGAGCTGACACTCAGAACAAGGCCACACTGTTTGCCTTGGTGATTTTCAGCCTGGAAAAAGGTCAGGAATAGCGTATTATTGGCAGAGTAATTAGTCAGGCAGAATAACAGTAGGCTAAATTGTTATATTACCGTGTACCTCAGCATGATGTAGTTTCAATGTACTGTGCAAAGTGTGTGGGAATGTGTAGTCTACTGATGGTGAGTGTGCATTATCATTCATAGAACAAGCTACTTGGAGAGTACCTATGACCAAGAAGCAGCTATTAAAAGTCTCTATCCTATCATTACACATATCTGCATTAACTGAGTCACCTGCATCTCTCTTCTACCCAAATTGTCATCTAGCACATTTTGACTCTCTGATCAGCAGATATGGCTATGTGTGGTATGTGGACGAGTGGCAGTAGTCGGTCTTGGTTTGCAGTTAAATGCAACAGTCATGAGGCTAGTAGACAATGCATTTTACTGTCAGAATTTCTCACAGTTAAATGATTGCTAACCACACCCTATGATTGTAATAGCTCTATGAAGGCCTACTGCAAAAGTCCATTTTCACACGGTGCATTTTACTACTTAATATCAAAACATGCATTGTTCTTAGGCTCTTTTAGGAACGCGTTAAGCATTACAGGACGTTGAAGAAAGGTCAAACCTTAACCTTCTGCTTTAGTTAACAAACTTCTCTATGATTTCCTGTTCAAAAGGTCATGTTAATGTCCAACAAGGCAAAGCATGCAATACATGTAGATGAAGTGGTGTTTTTATGTAACATACACCCACATGTCGAACACACTCTCGCACACACACATACTGTACGTACTGTACGTACACAAACACACACGCATGCACACATAGATACACACACACATTCACAGACTAATGTCTCTCCTTTTCCAGGGACTGGTGAGAGTGGAAAGAGCACCTTCATCAAACAGATGAGGATCATCCATGGGACAGGCTACTCGGATGCAGACAAACAACTCTTCACCAGGCTGGTGTACCAGAACATCGTCAATGCTGTTCAGAACATGATCCAAGCCATGAAGACCCTACGGATTGATTTTAAAGATCACCAGAACATTGTAAGCAGCTTGTCAACAGATTCAATGGCAGCTTGTGTTACGGGCTAGCTGGTTCACAATATCAATTTCCTGGAACATCTACTCTGTGAATGGGTTTTTATTGCCATGTCTAAAACTGTCTGTGTGTGTGTTCAAGAGCCATGCAGACAGACTGAGCAGGGTGAAGGCAGATCTAGTGACCATACTGGAGCCATGGCAGGTGGATGCCATCAGGAGACTGTGGAGCGACCAGGGAATACAGAAGTGTTACGAGCGCAGGCGAGAGTACCAGCTCTCTGACTCTACCAAATAGTGAGATTTGTCTATAGTCTTTACCGACTTATTCAGACCAAGCTAAGGTAGACATAAATGTACACCTAACAAGTCCCAGCGTCCTGATTTAGCCAAATAGTGAGATTTGTCAGGTTTATCCATTCACATATTCTTAGACCAAGCATAGATAGATAGATAGATAGATAGATAGATAGATAGATAGATAGATAGATAGATAGATAGATAGATAGATAGATAGATAGATAGATAGATAGATAGATAGATAGATAGATAGATAGATAGATAGATAGATAGATAGATAGATAGATAGATAGATAGATAGATAGATAGATAGATCGATATGAATATGCACTCCACAATAAGTCAGGTATCTAGCTAGGGTGTTTAGCAAAGTACGTGCCACTGCCAATGCATTTTATTGTTATTTTCATGTCAGTTACCTGAGTGATCTGGACAGAATCGCTGCCCCCTCATACCTCCCCACACTGCAGGACATCCTGAGGGTCAGGGTCCCCACCACAGGCATCATAGAGTACCCCTTTGACCTCAAGACTGTCATCTTCAGGTAAATATCCATTGGAGTAATGGTGTCAGAGCCTTGTTGTCCACTAAGGCTTTGGCTCTGTCTGTATACTTCTACAATGTATCCTTCCACCCTTCCTTACTTCTTTTGTTGGAGTAATCACTGATCTAACTTGGATCTGTGAAAGCTATGTACTGTAGTTGAACCCTAGCTTCTACTTATTTAGTAATGTTAGATCAGTGATTACTTCAAGAAAGGGTGGATGAAATGATGGATGCAAGTATTCCCATGTCAGCATTTCAAACGACACCCTAAAGGTAGTGCCCTATAGGAGGAATAGAGTGTGATTTGAGATTTTCCCCATGTTGTCTTGATCAGGCTGGTGGATGTGGGAGGTCAAAGGTCAGAGAGGAGGAAGTGGATCCACTGTTTTGAGAGGGTCACCTCCATCATCTTCCTGGTGGCTCTCAGTGAATACGACCAGGTCCTCTATGAGAGTGCCAACGTGGTGAGGATAAACACTTTGACTCTAAGGGCCTCTTAAGTCTTATTATTCTACAACTAACAAACAGAAAATTATTTGTATCTTCATACAACAGTAGGACAGTGTCAATGTTTAGCTGTTTATATGTGATGGAGTCTGGATTTTTTTTCCTTCCAGAATCGACTAGAGGAGAGCAAAGCCCTGTTTACAACCATCATCACCTACCCCTGGTTCCAGGAGTCCTCCATCATCCTCTTCCTAAACAAAACTGATCTTCTAGAGGAAAAGATCTTACACTCCAACCTGGTAGACTACTTCCCAGCGTTCACAGGTTAGTACGCTAGACTAGTTAGTACACTGGTTAGTCATATATTAATGTGTTTTATAAGCTATAGGCTACTCCAACCTTACAGACGACTTCCCTAAGTACTATTGTTAGTCATGCCTTGATATGTGTGTAAATATCTGCTATCTGTCGCATTCAGGGTTGCGGTCAATTCCAAATTCCAGTGAATTGGAGTTAATTCCTATAAAAAAATCTATATTCAATTCAAGCAACAGGAACTGGATATATAGGCTACAGGAAACGATTCCTAGGGCTCTATTTTAACAAACCTAATGCATTGGTAGATATAAGCGCTGGCGGTAGAGCTATAGGTTCGGGGGTGTGTCATAAATATTTTTGCTATTTTCACAACCAAGAATGAATAGTGCAGCAGTGCTGGCGGTGGAGCGAAAGAGCTGGGATTTTGATGAATAAATAAGTTGTAGGTGTGTCGAGGCTTGGCCCCTCATTGGCCAATCAAAACATGCTCCATGGCTAAATATGTGGTTGTTTCAAGTTGTGTATTTATGCCTTGGAATCAACTCCAGTTCCAATGTTAGTCCGTTATAGTTTCTTAAATAGTTTACAGAAACGAAATATCAAAATGTAGACCTATTCCATCTTACGTTAACTTGAACCTGTTTGCAGTCCACAATTGTTCTAAGTGCATGGCTTCAATTGTGAAATGTATACATAGCATTCGCACTGATATAGGGGCTAGGCCTAGCCTACTGTAAATTGTATTATGGCTGAGCATGGACATGCCAGACGTTGTCAATAAGCAAGATTAATTTAATTATTAATAAGGCCTAAAAAGAGAGCGAATTCTAATTCTAATCAAATTCTAAACAAAACGAAACAACTTCTTTTAAATAACAGAGCAAAGTTGTCAAATACACTTACAGACACCATAATTGCTCCCTGTGGACATATAATATTAAAACAATGCAGACTTACTATGGAGGGTTTTATAAACATCCAAACTTCTCACAGTAGCTGGGCAAAGATCCAATATAAAGAGAAAGGTTGAATGTCCACTCGCCGTTATACTGCTCCAAAAATAAAATGCTTTATAACCATATTGAAACCATCTTACAGATCTAATTTACACTAGAAGTTGCATTTTATACACGCCACAGACGTTCTCACCATAAAACCAGGACGGTTAATAATTCTAATAAGTTTGGTTTTAATACAATTAAACAAAAAACAAGCAATGTGTGTTTTTTTTTTTAAACAACAACAAAAATAAATCGCCAGGATAAAAAAGACAACGCATTGCTGTTGAACCAGCCTTCGTTATAGTTGGCCAAAGGTAAGGGTAGCTTTGAACATACGAATTGGAAAATAAGCAATTGTTACCGGGAAAGTACTTCTAAATACAAGGTTCACTGGTATTCACCGAGGTTCTCATCTCTCATTTCATGATGGGCATGGACACATGTAGCCTACATCATGGAGGGGGTTTTATGCACGTTCAAAACGGGAGCTGAGCTGCATGGCTAAAATAATGTAGGCCTGCCTACAATACATAGATAAAAACGGAATGTCAGCGCACTGGGGAGACTATGCTTGGTTTTTATTCAAACAAACCGGGAAAAAACACATGCTTTTTTTGTTTCTAAATACGAATTATACAGGCACCAAAAGCACATTACTGAATGTTCCATGCGCATATGGGCAGTGTGCATCACCGCTGGGTAGGCTGCGTTTCCACTTTCAAAATGAATGCCATAACCATCCGCGTTACATCTAAAACCAGGTTTTGGTTGGTCTGAAATATCCCTATCAGCGCTGCCTGAAATTAGCATTTTCGATGACGTTTTTAAGGACACATCTGAAATATTTCCACCACTCCCATCGGAGCACAAGCGAGCTGATATAAGACAGGTCAATTATCAATCATTGCGCAACAGTTTGGAAATAGCAGAGCACTGGCTTTAACCAGCCCAGCCAGCCAGCAAAAGGTCAAAATTGCCAACAAAGTGCGTTTGACACTAGCGCCGTCGTAACGCCAGCGGAAGATAGAGCCCCTAGTGTATTTTACTTACATTATTTTTCATAAATGTCTTCTTTAAAGGTCCCCGGAAAGATGCAGAGTCTGCTAAGAAGTTCATCCTGAATATGTACAAAGAGCAGCACATAGGGCGTCACAAAGCCATGTACAACCACTTCACCTGTGCAACGGACACCGAGAACATCAGAGTTGTCTTCAAAGCTGTAAAAGACACCGTCTTCCAAGAAAACCTGGATAAATTTAACCTGGGTTAGGGGTTTAGGACTAGCGTGGTATCTCTGTATATGGTGCAATAGTGTTATTTCAGTTCCGGGTTACAGTTTTGGTACAGACATTTAAGTAACTGGTCTTGAATTATAAGCTTTCTTACTATAGCAGAGCCAGGGATCACAGTCATAGCACAAACAGAACGACATAATATAATAATTTAAAAAAGTAAGAATTATAACAACTTCTGAAATCTTCCATGTTACAAGATAGGGGTATCAGTAGACTATCATATCCATATGACATAACTACTGATAAGACAAATACCCTGAGGAATGTTGTGGACCCTGAATCTCTGCCTGGAGTTCCTGCCATTAAGAGGAACTAAAGGGAAAATATGCCTACAGGGGAGTACAAGTTCCTTAGTTTACATTTGTGTTGTAATGTCATGTGTGGTTTTCACATATATGTTTCATGATTTACACTTTCCTTATTTTTAGGTCTTTTTAAAACTTTAAATAAATTATTAACTCTAGTCATTCAAAGGATTCTGGAACGGTCACTAGTTTGTTGTAGTTTGTTAATGTGTGTTAGCAATAAATCATTCAAATCTACCTTTTGGAGAGTTCTGTCATACTCATTTCACAAAGGACATAGAGATAGATATAGAGAAATAACGTATGGTTTAATACAGTAATAGTTTATGATAGCCTATGTAATATAATTGTCACAAATGTTGGTGGACTGCGGTAGGCCAGAGTCAAGCGCAGGACACAGAATGAGATGAAGAACCACTTTACTGAGTAAAGTCGACACCGGCCTCGGGGACGGCCAGGAGGACGCGGCGCTGGGCGAGTGGGATGATTCTGATGGAATTCCCTCAACAAGGGTGGCGTGCCCAAGCGCTGAGAAAGTACAGCGCCTATCCCAGCCTCGGATGCGTCCACCTCAACCGTGAAGGCCAAGGAGGGATCCGGATGAGCCAGCACTGGAGCCGAGGTAAACAGGTCCTTCAGGCGACTAAAAGCCCTGTCCGCCTCAGCTGACCACCGCAGATGCACCGGTCCCCCCTTCAGCAACGAGGTAATGGGAGCTGCTACCTGACCAAAGCCCCGGATAAACCTCCGGTAGTAGTTGGCAAACCCCAAGAATCGCTGCACCTCCTTTACCGTGGTTGGAGTTGCCCAATTACGCACAGCCGAAATGCGGTCACTCTCCATCCTCACCCCAGACGCGGACAGGTGGTACCCTAGGAAGGAGATGGACTCCTGAAAGAACAGGCATTTCTCTGCCTTAGCATACAGGTCATGCTCCAACAGTCTTCCAAGCACTTTACGCACCAGGGACACATGCTCGGCTCTTGTAGCGGAGTATATAAGTATGTCATCAATATACACCACTACCCCTTGTCCGTGCAGGTCCCTGAAAATCTCATCCACAAATGATTGGAAGACTGATGGAGCATTCATTAACCCGTATGTCATGACAAGATACTCATAGAGGTGGTACTAAATGGCGTCTTCCACTCATCTCCCTCCCAGATACGCACTAGGTTGTACGCGTTCCTGAGATCCAAATTTGTGAAGAAGCGTGCCCCGTGCAATGATTCCGTCATACTAGCTATCAGGGGTAATGGATAGCTGTACTTGATGGTAATCTGATTTAAGCCACGGTAATCAATGCACGGGCGTAAACCACCATCCTTCTTCTTCATAAAAAAGAAACTCGAGGAGACAGGTGAAGTGGATGGCCGAAGACTCGGCGACATATGTCTCCATAGCCGCCCTCTCCTCCTGAGACAAAGGATACACGTGACTCCGGGGAAGTGCAGCTCCTACCTGGAGATTTATCGCACAATCCCCTGGACGATGGGGTGGTAATTTAGTCGCCCTCTTTTTACTGAAGGCGATAGCCAAATCGGCATACTCGGTAGGAATGTGCATAGTGGAAACCTGGTTTGGACTTTCCACCGTAGTTGCCCCCAAGGAAACTCCTACACACCTCCCTGAACACTGACCTGGACCATCCCTTAAGAGCCCTCTGTTGCCATGAAATTGTGGGGTCATGAATGGTTAACCAGGGAAGTCCCAACACCACAGGATACGCAGGAGAATCAATCAGATAGAGGCTAATCCTCTCCTCATGACCCCCCTGCGTCCTCATCAGGAGTGGGGTGGTGACCTCCCTGATTATACCTGACCCTAACGGGCGACTATCTAATGCGTGCACAGGGAAAGGTTTATCAACAGACACAGTAGGAATCACTAAACTACGAGCATACTGGCGATCAAAAAAATTCCCAGCCGCGCCTGAATCTACTAGCGCCTTATGCTGGGAATGGGGGGAAAATTCTGGAAAAACAATATCAATACACAAGTTAGCAACAGGAGGCTCTGGGTGAGTCGGGTGCCTACTCACCTGAGACGGTCGACCAGTGCCCTACCTGCTGCCTCGACCTCCTGAGGACCCTCCCCAGCACCGACCAGCAGTGTGTCCTCTGCGGCCACAGTTGGTGCAGGGGACGGTCCCTCTCCCTGTCTCCCTAACCGCAGCACCTCCGAGCTCCATGGGGGTAGGCTCGGAGGTGCTGGGGGATGGAATGGACGGCCCCCGATCAGAACGTCTGCGGGCTGCCAACAGGTTATCCAACCTGATGGACATGTCCACCAGTTGGTTCAGGGTGAGATCGGTGTCCCTGCAGGCCAGCTCCTGACGGACGTCCTCCCTTAAGCTGCAGCGATAATGGTCGATCAGGGCCCTCTCATTCCATCCCGCGCTGGCTGCTAAAGTTCTGAATTGCAGCGCAAACTCCTGCGCGCTCCTCATCTCCTGTCGTAGGTGGAACAGATGTTCACCCGCCGCTCTCCCCTCTGGTGGATGATCGAATACCGCCCGGAAGCGGCGGGTGAAATCCTCGTAGCGGACAGAACTTGCATCTATTCCTCCCCACTCGGCGTTGGCCCATTCCAGCGCCTTCCCCGATAGACAGGATATGAGGGCGGACACGCTCTCGTATCCCGAGGGCGCCAGGTGAATGGTGGCCAGGTAAAGCTCGACCTGGAGGAGAAATCCCTGGCACCCGGCAGGTGTTCCGTCATATGCCCTCGGGAGCGAGAGCCGAATCCCACTGGACCCAGATGGCGAAGCGGTGACCAGTGTTGTAGGTGGTTGAGTGGTTGGAGATGGTGATGGGATACCACCTCTCTCCCATCGTTCCATTGTCTGGAACAGTCATTCCATGGTGACCCCGAGAGTCTGAATCATTAATTCCTGACGTTGGACTCGTTCCTCCATCGTCTCGGTTACTCAGGCTGCTCCTGCTGACTCCATAGTGGTGCGTGTTTCTGTCACGAATGTCGGTGGAATGCGGTAGGCCAGAGTCAAGCGCAGGACACAGAATGAGATGAAGAACCACTTTACTGAGTAGTAAAGAAATACAAGCAAAACCTCCAACAACAAGGGAGGAGCAAAACCCGCTCACAAAATGACACTCGTACAAGAAAATAAACACACACACCACACAGTGGACGGGAACAGGTTAAATAGGGAAGACAAACTAACATAATAGGGAACAGGTGTGCAACAACAGACAACAATCAAATGAACATAGAAACATATAACATAGAGCGGCAGCAGCTAGTACTCCGGTGACGACGAACGCCGAAGCCTGCCCGAGCCAGAAGGAAGGGCAGTCTCGGCAGAATCCGTGACAATAATATATAATGGAAGGGTTATAATATTGAATATTGACAGAGTCACCTCATTATTTGCTTTGTGAATAACCCAGATTGTGTGTTAATTAATTACTGTATACAGTACTCCCAGTTCTTTGACTGACACTCCCTCTTTTACACACACATGCACACACCCTCTTGCGTACACACACACACACACACAGGTGTGGCGGTGGCAGGACGTCGTGGCATTGACATTTGTACCAAACAGGTCAAGCTCCTTTCTCTCCCTCTTCCTGTTTAACTGGTGAGACTGAGACCAACAACAGAGGTGAGTGACAAAGCAAACAAACATGCACCCGTCCAAAGAGGATCTCCTCAGGGAAAGGTGTTCCAACTATGTAGAAGGAAGGTTTGTGGTTTACTAACCAGTGTGTGCAACTATTTACTGCACAGAAAATTGGCCAGTGTTACCTAGTGTTGATTTTTCAGTTACATTTCTAGTGTTGATTCAGGTCTTAAATTAACTTTGTAAGTGTTAAATTAACACTCATTGGCGTAAAAGAACCCCAGTGTTGGTTGTAATAACCAGTGTTAAACCAAAACCATGCCCATCATTATCATATTTCCCAGCATGCTATATTGCAGGGAGATTTTTTTTAATGGTTTATTTCAATAACTACAGTGGCTTGCGAAAGTATTCACCCCCCATGGCATTTTTCCTATTTTGTTGCCTTACAACCTGGAATTGAAATGGATTTTTGGGGGGTTTGTATCATTTCATTTACACAACATGCCTACCACTTTGAAGATGCAAAATATTTTTTATTGTGAAACAAACAAGAAATAAGACAAAAAAAAAACAGAAGACTTGAGCGTGCATAACTATTCACCCCCCCCCCCCCCCCCCCCCCCCCAAAGTCAATACTTTGTAGAGCCACCTTTTGCAATTACAGCTGCAAGTCTATTGTGGTATGTCCCTATAAGCTTGGCACATCTAGCCACTGGGATTATTGCCCATTCTCCAGCTCCTTCAAGTTGGTGTACAGCAATCTTTAAGTCCTACCACAGATTCTCAATTAGATTGAGGTCTGGGCTTTGACTAGGCCATTCCAAGACATTTAAATGTTTCTTAAACCACTCAAGTGTTGCTTTAGCAGTATGCTTAGGGTCATTTTGTCCTGCTGGAAGGTGAACCTCCGTCCCAGTCTCAGATCTCTGGAAGACTGAAACAGATTTCCCTCAAGAATTTCCCTGTATTTAGTGCCATCCATCATTCCTTCAATTCTGACCAGTTTCCCAGTCCCTGCCGATGAAAAACATTCCCACAGTAGATTGTGTTCTCAGGGGGATGAGAGGTGTTGGGTTTGCGC